TTCAGACTTTTCAGATTTTTTACTTAATGTATTATATTTGATGAATGTCTGGATATACAGAGGAATCGATTGGCAATGGAACCTATGGACAAGTTTTTCAACTCGTTGGACACGACCCGTTGGTTTTCAGCCTAAATTTGGATATTCATAGAAACTAGAGATGAGTTGATGATGACGATTAATTAACAGAATTTTGCCCAACACAACAAAAAAGACATTGGTCTTTTTTTGAACTAAGAAGTGTCATCAAATGCTTACAGCTAGTTGGTAGTAAGATTTAATTAGCTTCTATCTAGACCAGCGGTGATCAAATATGTCATGTGTTCTAATGATGAGTCTCGACAGCACTATGAAACACAATGCAATGCGTTGCAAAGATGTGACCATCCAAATATCGTTCATTTGATTCGAATTCAAAAGGTCGAAAATTCGACTAGACTCGGCCTCGTAATGGAGTATTGTGATCGAGGATCGCTGGAAACAAGTTTATTCTTTCAGATTTCAAAGACCAATCCTATTCTTTAGTGATCTTTAATCCGACGATCATTTACACCATTCGCTCAGTCATCTTGTGGAGCCAACAACTCTTTGGAGCGCTCGATTACATGTACCAAACTTTCAATATCATCCATTGTGATATCAAACCTGCCAAGTTGGTCTATAGGTTGATGTTTATTTAAGAAGACAATTGTGATTAAATTTTCTGACCAGTTTAACAACCATTAGTCGAACTCTTAACTTCAGTCATTCATTGAAGAATTGTGTGTTGCCGCGTGCTAAGCTTTTGCATTGAAGATAGCATGTTTGGCGAACATTCATCTTCAAACGGAAATTCATAGTTTATGTATATTTAGTATCTTTGTCACAAATGATTTCACTTTGAAAGTCGGCGATTTCGGATTGGCAAAGATGGCGGTTGAGACGACGAGCGGGACTTTTATTGGGAGTTATCGATATATGAGTCCGACAAGGCCTGACTACGATGCTCGGGTTTGTTAGACTAACTTTGGTCCCTAGCACCAGTAGATCTACATTTGTCTAAACTGTCTAAACCCAAATTTGTCGGAGCTAGTGAATTTAGGCATCTCATCTTCATGACATTTATGCTATGGGCCTTGTCGTTTGGGAGCTGATAGAAAGAAGGTTTGTTCAGAGCTTTTTGACCTCTACTCGAAAGAAAGACTAAATACAAGAAAGTGCGTGACTGGTTAACTAAGTTAAAACTTTTTGAAGCATAAAAACCCCCATTTGCAGGTCTGTATGGTCAAAGTACGAAGTTGATGGCGAATTTGATTATAATTTCTTTCTCTACAGCTTTTTCCAAGGTGATGTCACGGAATTGGTAGCACCAAACTGCCAACCGGATCTGCAGCAAATAATCACAAGGTAATAAGTTAATGCAATGAGGGATCAATCTTTTTAGGTGCACAAATTTTGACCGACGATCGAGACCCAAAGCCGACGAAGTCTGTCAACAATTAGCAGCTCTTCCCCGGGTTAGTTACACATAAAGTCGCGTTCATCGAACTTTCTAGCTTGAACATCAGGATATCCAGCCAACGATCGTCGAGTCGAGTCAAGTCTTGATTCGACCAGTTGGTTTTGATGATACCGATGAGCGACAACCAATTAGCGGGACACCTTCTTTTGACCTCTTCGTTCCAGATGTGACGACCATCAGCAATTCTTCGGAAGTCAACGCAATATCAAAAAAAGAAAGCAAAATAGCAACGATGGAACACAAAACCGAAGAAGAAAAAATGAAAGAAAATGCCGCTGTGGTTCAATTTGAAATAGCAGAAGCTCGAACAAATCGCAGCACAAATCATTCTAAACTTTCGTCGCCACGGATCACATCATCTATGGGGCCGTTAGAAGCAGTGCTGCTAAGAAATGCTAACGTTGGTACAAGTTTAGAAGCAAAACAAAAGCCAAAAAATTTCAAGATGATTCATCTTGAAGAAAACCCCGTTTTGGCGGACCATAAACCCAAACGAGTCCAAAACCTCTGCCGTTTTTCAATCTCGATTCTAATTGTTCTGCTCATCGTGCTGGCGATATTTGGAGGCGCATATTATGCTTTCGTGGTCTCAACACCAGTCACAATTCTTGTCGGACCCGATGGAACACCACTGCCTACTGATGCAAGCGGAAGACACGTTCGACCAGACGATGAACCGGTGCCAACCAACGCCAATGGATTGCCCGTTGATTCCAGTGGTGAATTTTTGCCGATTGACAGCAAGGGACGTCATGTCTTCATTGCAACTACCGAACCGGAATTAACAAGCAAGGTGTTGAACCCGAATGAGACGAGACAGGTAGAAATTACCGATGAGACGGGTAGAACCCGAATCCCAGTTGTTTGGCCTGATGGAACGCCACTCGCTACGGATATCACTGGCGAATACATTCTTGACGACGGCACTCCAATTACATCTGACGATGAGGGCAATCCTATTGGATTTGATGGAGAGGTTCTGCCAACCGACAACTCCGGTCAATGGGTGTTTGTTACCCCAGAACCAGAACCCGAAACCATGAAAGCTACGGAACAAATCATTGTCGTTCGGGGACAAGATCAGACTCCATTGCCGACAGATGAATCTGGAGCGCCGCTTAATTCAGAGGGACGACCATTGGCCACCGATGAGCAAGGGCGCCCGCTTTCTCCGGCTGGCGAGGTGTTGCCAACTGATGATGAGGGGCGCTATGTCTTCAATGCAACTGCCGAACCGGAAGTTGAGCCCGAATGCGACGAGATAGGTAGAAATTACCGATGAGACGGGTAGAACCCGAATCCCAGTTGTTTGGCCTAATGGAACGTTGCTTGCCACTGATTCAACTGGAGAGTACATTCTTGACGACGGCACTCCAATTGCACGTGACGACGAGGGCAAGCCTATTGGATTTGATGGAGAGGTTTTGCCTACCGATGGCCATGGCAACTGGATGTTGACTTTGCCCCAGGATTATGAAGATTAATGAAGATAAACAAAAAATCGGCTCAAATCTGATAGAAATAACTGGTCAATATCGTTTTATTCGTCTAAATATTCTAAATAAATAATGATAGAAATTTGCAAAGCTATTGGCTAAAATCTCAATAGTTAACACAACAATAAAGGCTGACATTTTTCACCCTTATTAATTTTCAATTTTTGCCTTTATTATTGAATCAAAAAAGTGAGGACTTTTACATATTCAGTGTTACTACTCGTAAACAAAATACCTACTTTCTAGAACGTTTTCAAATTTTCGAAAATGAACACAATTTGGATCGAAAATAGAAGATTTTGCCATTGAATCAAAAAATTTTCAACAATGAGATTCTTTTGTTATTAATTTGGTTACTAAAGAGATTTTACTGTAAAAGCTTTGCTCACAACAAATACATACCGTAAATACTGTAATAGTACCCCACCCCCATAATGACGGTGCGGAGTGTTGCGTCGTCTAGCTTTGAACGAGTTTTTCTCGACACTGGTTTATGCTACAATGCGCGCTTAAGTATCAAAAAATAACGCTGAATTTCAGCTATTTTTTGATAAGGATATTTGATATTTGATTTTTGATTTTTTGAGCTTTTTGATATTTTTTGAAAGGACGGGCGCTTTGAAAAAAATGAAATACTAAAAAACTTTTGCGACTACGCGACTGTACGAGGGGGGCCGGGGTACTATTACAGTATTTACGGTAGCTTTCGTAAGGAAGCATTTTGTAGGAAATAAAATAAAAGCATTTTTCTATGCTCTTCGAAATGGAAAACAATGGCAATTTTCTGGTATCGGATTGAAGCTTTTTGGGGTTTTTGGGTCTCATTTCTTTGCTTTCGCAAGGAAATGGGACTCGTTTTCACTTGGAAAGATTGCACAAACCAAAATTCATCACCAAAAAATCCCCAAAATGCATGTAATGAGACTTCTTAATTTCTTCGTTTCACCATAAATGCTTTTAATTTTTATTTCTAATATTTGTTTTGATCTCCTTAATGTTTATAATAATATTTCCAGTGCGCTGCTGAGCCGTCCATTTCAGAAAACGCAGGAAAAATGGTGATTTTTGAGGGAGAATACCCATCTGTAGCTTTTATCTTAGCATCAGGAGACGACCATCTTTTTCGAATCCACTTATTTTCACTAGACCAACATTAGACTCTCGGTATATTCTTTTTGCTTTTTTTTCATTATTTTCAGCAACAACAGTTCACATCTTTTGAGTCTATGGAATTGATTTCATAAATCAACAGATGATGTGTTGCTTCTAAATGTACAGCTTTGATCTACTTTAGAATACCAAATGAACCTTATTAGGCTTAATAGACGTGAGAGATAATAATTTTTTTGAAGAATTCAAGGATGAAACGAGCGACTAATTCTTGTACCGTTAATAGTTTAGTCAGAAAATACTAATGAACTTTTTCGAAAGCGTTTCAAGTATAGATTCTAAAACTAAAAGAATAATCACTTTCCCTTTTCATTTCATGGTTTTTTGTATGAAGAAAGTTTTCGACCGCTTTCAACACAATTTCCGACTTGGTTAATCGTTTTCCGTTTAGGACCTGGTTACAGTGAATCATAAGCTCGCCAGAAAACTGATAACGACAAAAAACTGGCGAGCGAAAGAAAGAAAAACTTGTTGATGGTTTAACTTTTGCAAGAAAAAAATTTTTAATGTTAGACGTGAAATCCTTTCACTACATTTTGAAACTTGACAAGTAATGTTCAATAAACTGTTAACATGGGTTTTGATTGTTTTCATAGTCTTAAAGTCATACACAAGCATGTTAGTTTGCAACGGTAATTTATCGGTTTGCAGTCAATTTATGATAATAACAAATGTAAACAGAACATCTCACTTTCTACCAGACATCAGGAAAATACATTTAAACAATTTAAAAGTATTTCATTTCATCAAATGAAAGATCAAAAGTTGAGTTGTCAATAAATAACAAATGAACGGCAATGAAAAAGAGATAAATTGAGAGATAAAACGAACTAGTTTGGTAACTGAACGCCCCATTGTTTTTTTGTAATCAAGTCGATAAGGGTCTCTGTTGTGATTTCCTCAAACTCATCATCTCTTTCTTGCAAACCCTCGTACAAAGTTTCTTGATTTGTTGGGTCTTGGTTACTTTTCTTGAAACCCTTTATTTCCTTGGATGATTTGTTGTAGAAGAAGCCATTCTCCCCTTTATCACCGAGTTTAACCCATATCTCATTGTCATTTCTGGTTCGAAGAAAACTCTCAGACCAAAAGTCAAAAGCAAAGTACTTCTCATCGAGATTTTTCAATTCATCAACCAAAGCAGAAGCTTGATCGCCAGAAGAGTTCATTGATAATAATTTGAATGTTTTCTTAAACATTTTGATCTGGTAATTGAAATCAGCTCGTAGGAGATTCTTAAAAGATTCTTCTTCAGTTTCAACGTGATCTTGTGTTTCTTGATTGTTTTCGTAATCTTCTTTCATTTCCACGTACTCTTTTTCATACTTTGAGATTCTTTTTTTGATAAATAGAGCCATCAAAGCTTGACGACATTTTTGTGAATCTAGGTTTTTGTATGAGTCGTTGTTTGGTAGTGCTGGTTTGAACCACTCAGCCTAAACTTCGAAAAATAACACAGTATAAACATGAGAACAGGGTATCCGCCGATCAATATGGTCATAAACGCACACTTCACTTTTAAAGTTTAATAATAACTTAGTGCTGTTTGACCACCCATCTGGGAGAAATACTGTACTGGCCAAAAGATTATCACCTCGCGAATTTTTCTCCATCTTTGAAGAGCTATAACTCCGAGCCTTTCCATCGTAGACTGCGAATGTTAGTGATTCTGAAAGCTTAAAACGAGCTCTATAAGATGGTATACTTGCTTTTCAAAAATTATTTTAATTTTTGACACATTTTGGGGTATGCAAAATAGATTTGAGAAAACAACATTTTCAGAGCTGTTTTTCTTGTTGATGCCGTGCTCTAATCATCTTGAAACCGTGCTTTTTGGAAACAATGTGCAAAATTACCCCTAAAGCCTTCGATTTGAGTATTTATTGCTGTCTCAAAGTTCATTTAAGCATATGAACTGAGAATTCTCGCATGATGTCTGAAGCCGTGAGACCTGGATTCTTTCGAGACTCCCTTACCGATCTTCCGGTCCATTTTGGGTTGGGTCATTCTTAGAACTTTGAGACAGCAATAAATACTCAAATCGAAGGCTTTAGGGGTAATTTTGCACATTGTTTCCAAAAAGCACGGTTTCAAGATGATTAGAGCACGGCATCAACAAGAAAAACAGCTCTGAAAATGTTGTTTTCTCAAACTCTATTTTGCAGACCCCAAAATGTGTCAAAAATGAAAATAATTTTTGAAAAGCAAATATTCCATCTTATAGAGCTCGTTTTAAGCTTTCAGAATCACTAACATTCGCAGTCTACGATGGAAAGGCTCGGAGTTATAGCTCTTCAAAGATGGAGAAAAATTCGCGAGGTGATAATCTTTTGGCCAGTACTGTCGCTCGAACCAAGGTTGATCCGAGTGTACAGTTCTAGTATAGTGGCTAGCTTCTTTGTGTTCAAAACTTTAACTCCAAGTGCATAATCTAACAAGAAAGCGCAAGTGAAAAAAAACGAAAATTTACTGCTAGCTGTGCAGTGACGTCTAGCTGTGCAGTGACGTCTAGCTGTGCAGTGTCGTCTTTTTGACCCCAAGAATCATCCATATTGCGCTGACTCTAAACATAATATGGTCAAATTTTTTAAATTGGATAAAAGTAATGTCAATTGTGTATCAACAAAAAAGGTACATCAAAAGCTTCTTGTAAGCTTATCAAAATTGAATCATTGTTGATTCCATTGATAAACCAGGAAAAGTCATCGCTGACAACACTAAAAGTTAACATGTAAAGCAAAGCTTCGCTTTGTAACCTTGAGGAAAAATTTGTGAAAATTTCTTGGATTATATCTGGCGATTGCTGGAAAACACCCTGAACTTCTGTTGCGAGAGACGCAATGTCGCGGCCGAGAAAGCTGAATATAAATGCTTACCAACAAATATACTGTCACACCTCATCAGTGACCACCTCGATAGTGAACTAATCTGTTTCGTGACCGGACATACATGATGCAAAAATACACCTAACTACCTATGTAGTGAGGCAACCATGACAATGTTCGAATTTCTCAGAATCTCTTTCATAGGTCACTAACGCGGCGGCACTGTACTACCGTAAATACTCTAATAGAAGCGCATGCGCTTCTAATTTTTCGCTATCCTTTTTCGGACTCCCCAAAAAAATCACATAAGGGGTGTGGCGAATAGCCACTAAAAGTTAACTCTGACAGCCTAAAAATTGGAAAAATATTGAGGAAATCGGTGCGCCTTCATTTTATTTCGCGCCCCAAATCATTTATTGTTTTGTAGCTTGTTAGCTGAGTATCTTGTGTTAAAGCCTATATAAGGCAACTGTTGTTCATTTTTTTTTGTTATCTTTCATTTTGTTTTTTCTGCTTTCCTCAGATTTTGTGTGAAAGTTGTGTCCTAATTAGGACGAAATTGCTTCTGTTCTTATCGTCACTTTAATTCAATTGTCGATATTGTGTGAAAGTTGCTCAAGTGAGAGCCCAAAGATTCCGAATCAATCGGCTATTGAATAAAGTGCTTTTTTTAGTTCAAGAGAGATCAGATATCTCAAAACAAGAAATAACGTGTCTTGAGTGAAGAGTACCAAGCACAAAAAGAATATTTCTTTACAAGGGGGACCATATACTATTTTTTAAAAAAACCTTTTAAAATCAATCTAGCTTGGTTGGAAATCTTCTAAAACAAACGAAAAACATGGTTAAAACAAGTAAATTTTTTTTCAGCCTTGATCCCTGGAGGTCGGATCCTCGAAAATGATATGGGTCCCCCTTTTAATTTTTTTTTTAGATCCTTTTAAATTTTACTGCCAAACCTTCTAGGTTATACATATGGCCCATATACACCATTCTACACTTTTCAGCGAAACTCTTTTTCAAAAGTAGTGCTTTTTGGGCGACCAATTTTGTATGGGGAGGGTGCGCTTCTATTAGAGTATTTACGGTAGGAATTTCTTTTTTTGTAACAAACCTTTCCACTATATGATTTAGGATGAGATGAAGCTTTTTGAAATCTTTTTTTAAATCCTAAAACTTGGCGGTAAAACACTTCTTAATGTTGCTAATCTTACATTCTGATATTTCTCCGGACTGGCTTGTAAATATTGTTTGGCCAACTCAAAATCGCAGAGTTTCAAAGCTGGGATTCGCTTCGGATTTTCCGAAGCTTCTTTTTTTGTGAGTATGCTAAAAGAAAAGTTGGGTATAAGTTCAACAGTATAGTATAAGTTCAACAAACTTGTTAAGTTGAATGTCTCCGTGCACAACTCTGTTTTTGATCAGAGATTGCATGATACGAAACAAGTAATAGGTCCATGAGATTATTGTCGGTAAACCGAAATTGTATTGTTCGAGGACTAAATTTCCAGGTTAGCAAACAGCTACTAAAATTAATAAGCACTAATTATGTTCTATCTGTAACGTCATGGTATGCAAAATATTAGGTTGGCGACATTGAAATTTCGTTCTTCAGCAACAACAAAATTTATTTGTAAAAATCAACTAGAAACAATTAGCAACAATATATTCCCCACAGCTATCAATAATATTTTTCCATCTTTGACGCAAATTATAAATTCCCTCTTGAAAGAATTGTGTTGGTTTTGATTGAAAGAAAGCAGAGACCTATTTTTTGATGTCGTCAATGTTCTGAAACTTGTGGCCTTCGAGTGAATGTCGCATACTTCGAAATAAATGGTAGTCAGACGAGGAAATATCTGAACTATAAGGCGGATGAACTAGATGTTCCCAGCTCTTGCGTAATTTTGGCAACGTGGCAACGGGCATTGTCGTGTAATAATCGCACTGTTGTCGGATCGATTCCTTTTGAGCAAAGCGCCGCGTCCACGCGATCTAGTGGTTAAACGTCAAGATTTGCATTAACAGTCTGATCAGAAATTAACACTTTGAAATGAACCAGGCCTCGGGTATTCCACCAAACCGACAGCATAACTTTCTTTCCGTGAAAATCGGGTTTAGGTATTGGCTTTGGAATTTCACCCGGGTCGAGCCATTGTCTTTTCCTTGTTATATTTTCATAATGAATCCATTTCTCATCAGAAGTTAAAATTGAATCCCAAAATCGTACAGCATACAGATGCGAAGTCGATATTTGAGGTCGTCTAGCATCTAAAAGATTTTTATATTAAAATTCTTCAATTGGAAATAAGGAAAAGACGCGTAATAAAGCACCATAATTATACCTTTAAAACAGAAGAGATTGCAGAATCACAATATACACAGTGTTAAAACCCATAAAGAGATGCGCAAATGAAATTTCAATGTCGCCAACCTAATAATCTCTAGAGATTATGACCGACCAAATGTTGCATGGTTAAACTCAATTCCATGTACCTTTTTTCAAATCCTGATCACATTTTTCCATCAAGATGACAAATCTTTTTGTTTGATCCAGACCCCATTCTAAATTTCCAATATATTCAACAATCTCCGGTGAATTCTTCGGAATTCTAGCCATGATTTCAGCTTCGTTTTTTAGTTTCAAGACTTTCTCGGCGATTTTCTTGACATTTGCTTCTCTCGGGAATTTGGCAGCATACTCCAGAGGTGAGTGATCTCTAAAAATTTTTTTAAAACTGGTTTTTTTACAAAATCTAATTCGATTTGAAAGCTTTACCTGTATTTTATAGTGATTGAACGAACTAAGCCAACTCCGCCTTGTCCAAGCGTTTCTCCCATTCCAAATATTCGCTTCTCAAAATGTAGTAGCCAAGCTTGATTTATATACAAATCAGATTCAGTAATGTTATTAAAAAAAATTAGAGAAAGCTTCTTAGCAGGAGAAAAATTTGAAACGTCTTATCAAATTTTTCTCCTGCTGTCTCCTTATCTGTCTTTGGTAACAGTTCACCCAATTCTAAAGCCGCACTATCGCAAGGCCTTTTTTCCATAATACAAAAAAAAAACTAACAATAAACTTTTTTACAAAAAAGTTTATTGTTAGTCTAAAATTAGCTATAAAATTCAGATAACACACAAAAGCGATATCTATAGTGCTGGAATCGTGCTGTGGGAACTCTGCGAAAGAAGGTCAAATTTGATTGGAGACTCGGCAATTTTCGGTGACTTTTAGGAAGCCATTTCAATTTGTCGATAACGTGTTTAATGCTTTATTAGAAGAGCTTGACGTCAAGAACGAAAAATTGAAAAAGCTTACAGCTAGGTAAATTTGTGAATAATGTGTAAATTTAGACTGAAAACAGCCTGTAATTTTTGTTTTCAGTTGTGCCAACCATGTTCCAGAAAAACGCCCAAGCGCTTCTGGCTCGACTTCTGGAGAAACCCACAAAGGGTCGCTGAGAAAGTTGAGAAGCTACAAGAGATGAAATTTCCAGAAATCGATTAGTTTCAGGAAAATAGTCATGTAGATAGTTAAAAATCTAAAGTTATGGCTCAATTTCAAATGAAGATTTCAGATCTGAAAATCTGGGAGGAAACCGAGTGGCCAATCATCAAGAAGCGTCAAAAGAAGGAAGCAAAGCAGCAACAAATGTAAGTGTAACTCATTGTAGTCTTATAATTAGCTAAAAGCCTTTAAGACTTAACTAAAATTGTTATCTGAAGGAATTTATCCAACTTTTAACACTTTCAGGCAAAAGGACAACAACGTCAGTGTTCACACCGCTCGCCCACCCACTCCCACCATCGATTGGCCATTGAAGTGAGTTGACTTTGACCAAGGAATTTCAATGTCAAAAGAGTTTGGTTTTATCTAGAGCTGTTAAGAGATATTAGAAAATCTGCTTCAGCGCGCACTCTTGGTCGATCACCGCTTGCAGGAATCTCATGTTGGTCACTCGTTTCTGCTGGGTGCCATCGGATTGGGAGTACCGCCAAGATCGTTGCCACATTGCAATTCGGCCAGTTGTTTACCGAATTCGGAACGACAAAGGTACTTCAGGCTGGCCCCAGTCTCACACGCAAAGCAGCCGGTCACTTTCCATCAAATGACACGCCGACACATCCACTTGTGTCTGCGCCTTCAATCCATTGACCTTGACTTGAATGGTGGATGAGCCTTTGGCTTGCACTTTGGTCTCGCCGTCCGTCTCCTTGTAGAGATTCTCTCCAATCAATTGTGGCAGAACTCTCGACTCGTCGACCAGGAAACCGTTACCGCGACTCTCGCACAATATCCGGTCATCCGCTAGACGGCAATCAATTTGCTTCGAGTCGAGTCGGCACTCCTTTGTCAATCCCGCAGCATTCTCTTTGTCTGGGCAGACGAATAATCGGGCTGCCTGGATTTCACTTTCCGACAGGATTCTTGTCCTTTCGTTCGTTTTCGCAAAAGTCCTGAGGAGAAGAGTCAATTATCATGGCCCCGATCTCGATTCCGTCATCTTTGACGGTCTCTCCCGCCTTGACAATCGACTTTCCCCCCTCTATAGTCAATCAATTTCTAGTCCTTGTTTCCATTCCCTTCTACTATCTTATCAAATTTTCCTCCTTATCTGTCTTTGGTAACAGAGGCGTCATTGGTTTTTTTGCGACTCACTCACGGGAAAGAACCGAACTGTAAAGCCAAGAACTTTTCTCCATAATATTTTTATTTTCCATCGATTTCAAAATCTTCAACTTTTTACAATGACATCAATAGCTGAAAGAAGAAAACAATTCTTGGCCAAAAAAAGAAGAAAAGCGGCTGACAACGACGATGATCAAGAGAAGTTGATTGCAATCACCGAGAATTATTCGGTTTATACAAAATCGTATGTTTCAATAGTTTTTTGTTAACCAAAAAGCACAACAAAACTTTTATCATAAAGAAAAAAATTCACGTTTTTTTTTTCAAAGCTTGTTCACTGTGCAGTGCGTGAGAGAGTACCGATGGGGCAATGATTATTTAGATATTTATTCCGAATCTAGCACAATATTAATCTAGCGAGAAAATACAATAAATAGAATCAATAGTTAGTTCAGTGTTTCAAAGCCAAAGAAAAGCAATACAAAGTGGGCTCCGTTCCCTTTTATCATGCAAACGATCTTTAGAGGAAGGACAAGAGAATCCGAGATATTCAAAATCAAAACATCAAATAAGATTTCACAGAAAAGAGCTACTTTTCTGCACATTCACTAACAACATCAACAAGCATTGAGTGTAGCAACTTAATGCAACAATACTAACAAGGGAATGGACTCAGCTCAAAGTTCGGAATCGACTGGAAACACAGTGCATAACGTCGGCAATGGCGAACAAAATGCCGCAAAAATTAGCCGCTAATAGCCACGGAATCTCGGAAAAAAAAAGAAATCTGGCATGCAAAATCAGGATTCAAAACTGATTCCTTTATAACGCTTCTCTCGCTGCCGGCCCAAGGTGGCCTCGTGGCCTAGTGGATAAAGGCTTAGGGCTGTGATACGGCGGTCGTATTTCTGCCCGGGTTCAAATCCGGCCAAATGAAAATGAAAGTAGCTTTAGTCTCTTTTCTCGTTTTCCCTGTTGAAAACTTGTATCGCAGAGCATCCCATAGGCAAAAATGTTAAATTTATTTTATTCTATTAAAATTTAGTTTGCCTTAAAAACGAAATAGTTCCAAGAATCGCAAGAAAAAAAGCCAAAAAAGTTTTGTATGTGGGCGGAATTGAACGTGAGGGCAAAAATATGACCGCCGTTTCACAGACTAAGCCACGAGGCAACTTTTGACCCGCAGCGAGCGAAACCTTATAAAGGAATCAGTTTTGAATCCCGGTTTTGAATCCCGTTTTGTTTTGAATCACGATCATGCCAGATTTCTCGCGTTTCCGTGGCTATTAGCGGCTAGTTTTTGCGGTATTTTGTTCGCCATTGCCGATTCTACGTTATGCACTGTGTTTCCAGTCGATTCCGAACTTTGAGCTGAGACCATTCCCTTGTAAACATCATTTAGTGGACAAATGGTGAAACATTTTCACAAAGAAAGTTTGAAAGCTCTTCAAAAAGAGATGGAAATCCTGAGAAGTTTGGAGCACAAAAATATCGTGAAATTCTATGCCACCGATGATTCAGCATTTAAAATTGTGATGGAACGTTACGAGAAGGGCTCTCTTCAAAAACGTATGAATTAACCAGTTTTTAACGGATCAATATTCAAACATTATATATTTTCAGTTGTCCATGAGCCCATGTATACGTATACGATGACAACATTGACTGTTTGGATGAAAGAAATTCTTTCCGCTCTCGAATATCTTCAAACAAAAAATATTGTTCATGCCGATATTAAGCCAGAAAAGTTTGTTGCATACGTTTGCGCTAAACTACTTTTCACAGTATTTTTCTAACGGATTGCTTTTCGTTGAAGATTGGCGATTTTGGATCCGCTTTTTATTACAATAAAGGGGAAAACTCTACAATAACCTCAGAATTGGACAAAAACATTGGATCTCCAAGTCCGGCAGTTTCCCCAAATGAGGTACAAAAAAGTTTATTGTTAGTCTAAAATTAGCTATAAAACTCAGATAACACACAAAAGCGATATCTATAGTGCTGGAATCGTGCTGTGGGAACTCTGCGAAAGAAGGTCAAATTTGATTGGAGTCTCGGCAATTTTCGGTGACTTTTAGGAGGCCATTTCAATTTGTCGATAACGTGTTTAATGCTTTATTAGAAGAGCTTGACGTCAAGAACGAAAAATTGAAAAAGCTTACAGCTAGGTAAATTTGTGAATAATGTGTAAATTCAGACTGAAAACAGCCTGTAATTTTTGTTTTCAGTTGTGCCAACCATGTTCCAGAAAAACGCCCAAGCGCTTCTGAGGCCTTAGAAGTTTTACAAGAGATCGAAAATGTAAAAGTTTGCCCCAGCATCAAAACGCTTTTATTGTTAAATGAAAATTGACCACTAAGATGCAAATGATTAAATTTTGAATGAAAAAGTTACCTTTAAAAGTGATCTCCAAAAATCCATAAGCACCATTTCTTTTTCAGGTCTACGACAAATTTTCTTTTCTACCAGAATTCAAACAAGACGAAACACAGTTGATACGACCGATCGGTTTTGATGGTACGAATAGCAGGGTTCCCGTAAATAAATCGGGTCTTCATGGGGATCAACTGTTAATACAAATGGAGTCAACAGAAGCAATAGCTCCAAGTTTTCAGTTTTCTTTGAACGATACTTCATTTATTAAAAATCTGCTATCAGAAAGATCAAGAACTGATGAGGAGCCGAATCAAGTTAACATCGAAACTCAGACAGGATTGTTTTGGCAAAACCTTAACTCAAGAATGAAAAATCCAAAAGAGATGCCATCCGACAGAGTGACAATTGACCAAATTTTGGGTCGGTTAAAAAAAAATGGAATGGTAACGAACAGAAGTAGAAGCTCATCATCCACCGGATCAAACTCCTCCGATGGCTTCCCTCAAAAGCCTCGACCTATTAAAATAAAGCCAGATTTCCAAGTTCAAGAAGTTCGTTTCGAAGAACTGTCAAGCTTGTGCTCAAAGCCTAAATTTCAAGAACAAACTACAGCATTTCTCAAAAGTTTCCTACTCTTGGCCTCTTGTACAATGTTGGAAATATTACCTCCATTGATCCAAAGAATGAACGCGTGTTTGGAAAAACTTGCCGAACTTCTTGAGATATTTGAATGGCCCGCTTATTTGAAAGTTTTCTTGAATGTGAACACTGGAGAAGAATGGTATTATTTTGGAGAAACCCCTTGTGAGAACATCCCGTTTCATCAACACATTCTCATGCGAAAAAGCGATTGGAAAGTGAAGGTTCTGTTTGGTGTTTGGGAGGGTAAAACAACTCTTGTGATAGAAAACAAATATCATATAAAACAGCAGAAGTTGCAATTGATGGGCTGTGAGTGGATCACACATGAGTGGATTGTTGATCAAATCAGAACATTGCAGCTAAAACGCGACACTCTAATTGGCTTATTGCTCAAAGACGAACGGGATACGCATGCTTTTGAAGCCAATGGTTCAATGATTTGGCGGACAGATGATGCTGGTGCCGTAGACATGGTGTTAATGCTTGCTTTTATAACAGCGCCAAAAGAGACGTTGTTGAGTTATTACGGTTGTTCTAAAGAAAATCTCGCTTCATATGAAGGGTTCTTTGAAAAACTTGCTTTCAATCAGCTCATAAATGACGAAGCAATTAGCCACCTTTGCAGTAATTGGAATATTTCTCCTAATCACATTTTCCCGGTTTCTGATAAAAGGCTAGAGCCTTTAGAGCTTAGGGCATGTCCTGGTTCTAACAGTGAACTTTATTTTTTCATCGAATCTCCTATTCAAAGCTATGAAGGAAAAGTGGCATGCTTTACAGGAAATTTCAAGTTTCAAGAAATCACAGTCTCAAAAGAGACTAGGGAAAGTTTTGTTGAAAAGGCAGTCGATGTTAGTAAGCTGGACAAGATTTTAGAGAAAAAGTTGAAACCTTTCCCATTGGCTATTACAGCTTGACGGGCTGCGTTTTTGTTGTATGTTGATTGTGTGTTAATGACTGTTTTTTCTTTTTTGTAGTTTTTCAGTTTACGTTATAAACATTCCATTTTTCGACTTTCAAAATATATTTAGATAAACACTATTTTAAACGTGAAAAATCGGCTCAAAGCTGATGAAAATGACTGATCAATATCGTTTTATTCGTTTAAATATTCTAAATAAATAATGATAAAAAATTTGCAAAGCTATTGGCTAAAATCTCAAAAGTTAACAAAACAATAAAGGCTGACATTTTTTACCTTTATTATTGAATCAAATAAGTGAGGACTTTTGCATATTCAGTGTTACTACTCGTAAACAAAATACCTACTTTCTGGAACGTTTTCGAAAATGAACACAATTTGGATAGAAATTTTTGCCATTAAATCAAAAAATTTTCAACAATGAGATTCTTTTGTTATTGATTTGGTTACCAAAGAGATTTTACTGTAAAAGCTTTTTTCTCAACAAATACATAGCTTTCGTAAGGAAGCGTTTTGTAGGAAATAAAATAAAACCATTTTTCTATGCTGTTCGAAATGGAAAACAATGCCATCTGAAACAATTGTTTGTTGAAAGTAGGAGAAAGAGGGCGAGGAACAATTTCAGGGCAATTCTCAAATGTGAAAACAGCGACGGAGTTCAACTGAAGTCCTTCCTCGCTCTCTTTCTCTTAGTTTTGAAAAACAAATGTCCAATGTAGCTTTACTTCAAGAATCTACCTCAAATTGGCTACAAAATGAGGCAAGTTTTTTGGCTGAGTAGAAATTTTTTTATAAACATTTTAAGGCATTTTTGAAGCTAAACTTTGGGGACTCAAAAACAATTTTCTACCGAACCAAATGAGCTAATTTCAAAAATTTATTATCAAATATATGTATTATGAACATTTTTTATGTTGACGACTTTTTGATTGGATGCTTGGAAATACCCTCATTCGTAAACGGCTGAATTTCGTAAGCTACGTTGGCTACGACATATATATATAATCTTGGTTGAATGTTGTTACTGATTTGGTTACTAAAGAGATTTTACTGTAAAAGCTTTGTTCTCAACAAATACATAGCTTTCATCAGGAAAAGTTTTGTAGGAAATAAAATAAAAGCATTTTTCTATGCTGTTCGAAATGGAAAACAATGGCAATTTTCTGGTGTCAGATTGAAGCTTTTTTGGGGTTTTTGGGTTTCATTTTTTTGCTTTCGCAAGGAAATGGAACTCGTTTTCACTTGGAAAGATTACATAATTCAACAAAGGTTCTTAAAAAAGATTTGCCAGTATAAAGCTCCAGGATTAAATCTCCGAATTTCACTAGTGAATCCTGGGAACTTGTTTTTGGAATAAACAAAACTTTGGTCAAGACCAGACCAATTCACCATTTTGCCATGAAAATTCTCAAACTTCTACTCTTTTCGATTTTCGATTTCTGGAGTGACTGGTGAAGATTTTCATGGAGAGTTGAGTTTCTAAAGTGTTTGTTTTTGCGTAAAACTCTCTTTGTATTAGACTCAGAGTATGAAAATGTCAGATAATTAAAAGAAGTTAATGGTTTTACGTCTTTCTGAAGCTTTGTTGACGATTCAAAGTTGCCAGCTTGCTCATTTTTTCACTATAAAAATCAATACTCGTACTGTTCCCTGAAACTTTTCAAGAAGCTCAAGAAAATGACTCTAGTATTGAATATTCCAAAACTATAACACTTATAAAATGATATTCAGAGGAGAACTGGTTGAAAGATAGAAGGATTTGCTGAAAGTTTGCCACGATCGAAAGTTTGTTTTTCTCAATTTTTGATCATTTTATTGGGTCGGTGAATTCAAAACTGCCGGACTTTAAACTAAAATTTATCCGACATAAAACCATCAATTCATTCCAAATAGTTTCCATTATTATTGACGACTTCTGCCCATTTTACAGGCAATTTGCGGATTCCTCTTTCCTAGTAGGATTTTGGTTTGTGTGTGAGACAAGTGTGAGACTCAAAAATGGAGGACTGGAGATGTCCCAGTTTGAGCACTTTCTTCAAAAGAAACCCATTTTGGTGTCAATAGAAAAGTTGTAGAGAATCAAAAATTAGGTAGCCAAATTTCGAAAAAGATACACTTAAAGATACAGTAGTTTCGCTTAAAATGCAAGTTTTGTGAAAATTCGTAAATTTGGCATTGCTTGAAAACCAGTTTTTGAATCGTTCTGCAAATTTGGATATAAGCTTGATTTTTGATTCTCTACAACTTTTCCATTGACACCAAAATAGATTTCTTTTGAAGAAAGTGCTCAAACTATGACATATGACAATAGCCGGCAGTTTTCAATTCACCAACCCAATAAGAATTGAGTGATGCTTTACAGAGAGGTCAAAATTTGATGAGTTTTACCAAGTGATGCTAAATGTGATAAACTAAAAATCGAATATCCTTTTAATTTGAAACAAAACTGATGATCGACAAGAGGAAATGTAAGTTCAAAAAAGTAATGTCTTGTTTTATGAAACTTTCCAGAACTCAAATTCGGTCGAGAATCAAAAGTTTAGAAACAGAAACTTTGTTTTGTATTTCTGAACTTTTATTTTGCTAACAATTTTGCTAGAAATTGTGGCATCAAGCTTTCAAAATTATCGTTTTCTGGAGTTCTCAAAGTATTCCCCAATCTCGATTTTTATAGATAAAATTGAAAATAAACAAATGCAATTGAGATTAAAAATTCTCGTTGAATTTATTGGAAAACACATTCATTGCTTTTTCTTTATTTCGGTGGAACCGAAGGGCATTTCAACGAGTTGAGCTGTTTCTTTTCTGCGGCAGGAACCTGAAATGAAATTTTAAACTCAATAAAAGTTTTTTTTCTTTGAAGTGAATAACTATTTCTGGCTAAAGCTTTAGTTTAAAGTTTTTACTTTGCTCCAAACAGGCGAGAGTCCAGCGAGAGAGAGACAACTTGAAGTGGTGAGTTGAGGCTGGGTTCCGTTTGAAAGTAATCCTAAAGGAAGACAAGATTTTTAAGCTTAAGTCCAAAACTTTCATAAAAACTTCTACAATCCAAAACTCTTCCGAAACTCACCACCCAATAGATAAGTTCCCTTGTTGGCGAGTGAAAGAGTACAACTTTTGTCGGTTCCCGTATTTTCGACAAGCAATTGGGTGGGAAGGGACTTGTCTCCCTGAAAATGCATGAATTGATTCTTTTAGAGGCACTTGTCCTATAAGATGTTAACTTTTGGAAGCTACCGTAATCCTGGCTTTAGTTTTTATCTAATTTTCGTATCATTTGGTATCCTTCATGAACTTATTACAATTACAATAGTAAAAAACGAGCTGTAGTGTTAAGCTGTCCAGAAAGTCTTTTCGTTCCTTTTCGTCTTCCGTTTAAAACCAACAAATGCATCAATTGCACTACGGTTTTTTTCAATAAACAGGACAATTATTTCTCTGCAAAATAACATTAAAACAGGTTTAGAATGTCTTATGTTTGGATTTTTTTGCGAGCTTGAAGTCGGGTAGTCAAAAAGCGTGACGACTCGGTGATGCTAAGACACTTTAGCTAAGGAAACCTATCTTTGTGTCAATAGATAAAAGATAGAGCATAAAAAGTTAGATAAATAGCCAAATTTTCAGAGAAATTCATCTAGCCAATTTCTTCGTAGAGGCTTTTATAGATTTTTAAGTAAAAGTCTCGTTCACTCTCGAATTTGATTTGAAAATGAACCAAAAAGATGACTTAAAATGATGAAAATTGAACAATAAATACTTTTTATTTAGAGAGAATCATTATTTTTCCTTATTCTTACCTTAAAAACGTGTAAATGTTTCAAAGTGTACGTCTTGCTTTGACCAACAGTCTTCGATGAGACAACTTGAGCTTGGGAAACTGAAAGAAAAAGATGAATTCTAAAATCCCGCGCCGAACTTTTCACTTATTGATTATTTTATTACAGAACTTACTCCAGTTTAAAGCACAAGCTCGTTGAATGAAATCAGTTGGAACCATCGGACAGTTACAGGTTCCACCAACTGGCGACGGCACATTACTAGTTGCCCATAAGAAACGGGCAAAAAGTACAAGAATATAGAGGTGAGTTGTCATTTTTCTAAAGATATTTGTAACAGCCAATTAACAGGCCAGGCCAGGCTAGGACAGGATAGGATCCAGATTGAAAAAGAATAAGAATAAGAAAGAATCAAAAAGAATCAGAAAGAATAAGAAAGAATAAGAAAGAATAAGAAAGAATAAGAAAGAATAAGAAAGAATAAGAAAGAATCAGAAAGAATCAGAAAGAATCAGAAAGAATGAGAGAGAATAAGAAAGAATAAGAAATAATAAGAATGAGAAAGAATAAGTAAGAATCAGAAAGAATGAGAAAGAATCAGAAATAATAAGAAATAATAAGAAAGAATGAGAAAGAATGAGAAAGAATGAGAAAGAATAAGAAATAATAAGAAATAATAAGAAAGAATAGGAAAGCATAAGAAAGAATAAGAAATAAGAAAAAGAATAAGAAGAATAAAACAAAAAAGTTAATCTGCATGATCGAATACTAGACATTAAAGCCAAATCTGGTTGCAATTTGATTTGCTATAGATTTTTGCCTCATTTTATACCCATTTTCCTGCTGCCAAAAACACCCTTTAAAGCTCAAATTTGTTTCTAACAGAACATCAAAACAAAAACACGTTTTCCGGAGTACAAGTCAAGTTCAGTGAACAATGAGAAACGTCGAGCAAACTTCAAAATGACACATAAAAACATAAAAACAGTATAGTTTAAAAAGCCTGTTTTTATTAGGATAGATGTAAATGTTTTTGTATATTTCGAAATATTCATCAATATTTCTGAAGCTTTCTAGACTCAAAACTAGAGCAAATCAACCTTGTGAGGTCCATTTATTGAGGTCCATTTATTGAGGTATGAAGGTCCATTTATTGAGCACACAGACTGAACTTTACCGGTTTCTTATCAGCCTTGAAAATTAAATTGAATCGATAGAGGTTGGTCTCAACTTGGTCTCGATTTGATCAACAAACTCCATTTCGAGTCGAACCTACCTTGTTAAACTGAAAAGTTAATGAAAGTGAAGTGAAAATGCTTGTAATTTTACGGATTCGTTCAAATAAACAAGTTTTTAAAGTTCTTTCTTTTGATGCTTATATTTAAAGCGCAACAATTAAAACATTAATCACTTGGCCTCAATTTCGTCTATTATAAATCTAGAGTTCCTTTTGATCCATAAGAAAAGTCAATTTTATGGGGTAACCAGCTGTGCTGGACATCCGCTACGCGGCCGCACGAAGAAATTCTCTCTAAAATCTCTCTGCAAAAAAGTAAAAGAGTTTGGCCGTGAGAGGGGTCGAGCCCGCCGCCCTCTTTCCGGCGCTCGCTACAGAGACAGTCGCGCTATCCCCTCGACCACCCATTGCCTGACGATCAGATCGCTTGTCGCTTCCATTATGGTAAAAGATTTTGAGAAAAGTTCTATTGGTTTGGCCGGAAAATCTCGAAAGTCCTTTTTAAAAATGTCGTTTATAAATGAATAATTAGCCGATCAACGTATGGGTTTCTTTAAATAAAAAAAGATTAACTATTACATTTAGCTTTTTAGGCAAATTGAGGCCTGCTTTGCAGCAAATCCAAACGGGAATTCTTGTTTTTCCTAAAATCCTTACTATGGACAGAGAATGAAAATGGCTCGGTGAAGTGCTATGAAAATTTGTCCATTTGCCTAACTTTTCATTCTTTATCTTTTGTCTTTTGACACCAAAATAGGTTTCTGTGACAAAAAGTACTCATTGAGCCTTTGAGTTTCATCGTTTGTGACTGCTCGACTTTACATCTTTAAAAAAATTATTAGGTTGTCCAGTTATGAATGCGCGCCTCCTCTTGAACAGCGTACCTTAGGGCTATACAATTTTAACAAACTCTATTCTCTATATGCTGTTCAAGATTCCTTATTTATTACAACTTTTCGTGTTTTTGACGTTAAACTAATTGATTTTTGATTTAATTTCCGTGTTTAGATGACCGAGACGAAGTTTCGTCTTTGTGCTAGTCTTTGGTATGACTTCAAATTGGGCAAAAATGCCGTTGAATCTTATCGAGATCTCTGCAAATTATGGGCGAAGATGCGATTCAACGATTTCGAGAAGGAAATGAATCTTTGGAAGGCGAAGACCACCAACGACGACCTCCTGCGATCGATAATGCAGTACTGAAGCAGGCGATAGAAATGGATCCTCGGCAAACTACACGTGAACTTGCAGAAATATTTAGAGTAAGCCCTCAAACAATTTCCGAGCATTTAAATCAATTGGGGAAAACAAGCCGACAAGGGAAATGGGTTCCTCATCTTCTCAGCAATGCCAATAAAGCTACTCGTGTCACTATGGCGGGTATTCTTCTTCGTTTGGCAAAAAATACTGGGTTTTACGATGAAATCCTTACTTGCGATGAAAAATGGATTCAATATGATAATTCTACACGAAAACGGCAATGGCTAGAACCTGGTGAGGAGCCAATACCAACACCAAAACCCGACTTCCATGGCAAGAAGGTAATGCTTACTGTCTGGTGGAATTCCCAAGGCATTGTTTATTTTGAGCTGCTTAAACCTGGACATACAATCACGGGTGAAACGTATGCACAACAACTGGAACGAGTGAACAATGTATTGCTACGAAAAGGCCTTGATCCTTCAAACATAAAGTTCATTCAAGATAACGCCCGTCCACACGTTGCAAAGATTGTTCAGGAAAAACTCGAAGAGTTGGGCTGGGAAACTCTCCCGCATCCGCCATATTCTCCGGATATTTCTCCTTCGGATTACCATTTATTTCGCTCAATGCGAAACCATTTGGCCGGAAACAAGTTCAAAGAAGTTGAAGAGGTCGAAAAATGGATAGCCGACTTCTTTGCCTCAAAACAAGCCAATTTTTACGCGGAGGGAATTCATTCTTTGCATGGAAGATGGAAACAAATATTGTTAACAAATGGTGAATATATTGTTGATTGAGCTGTTAAACTGTTGGTTTTAAAATAAAAAGTTGTTATCTTAAAAACGCGCATTTATAACTGGACAACCTAATAATTAACACGAGCTTTTCAGAATTTCTTAAAGAACAATTTGTAAATAAATAATAGAACTTTCTGATAAAACAAACCATATATCGATGGGTTCATGATTCATTTCAAAAAGTAATCTTTTAAAAATTGTACAAGCTTTCCGGTCAACCAATTGATAATTTTTCAAAAAACAAACAAATTAAATTATTGAGTATTGAAGATGCCTCCCTTGCTACCAAAAACCCACCGGAATTAACAACAAAAAAAGAAGAACTTGATGAAGATGAGAACTAAATTGATGCAGTGTTGAAAAATTGCGTTACATCTGTTGTTGTTTGGAATAAAAAAAAGTTGCAATAAGAAACTCACCAGAAAGTTGCTTATTAATTGATTTACTAAAATGAGCCAAAAGTTGATTCATAAAAACACGAGATTTTTGACCATCTTTTTTTCTTGATCATTTTGAGCTTTAGAGTTATCTAAAACTCAAAATAAAACAGCGTCTGCACTTCAAATTTTGCCTTCAGTTTTTTTTGTTGGATGAACCAAAAATTGACCTTGTAAGTTCATTGCCAATTTCAGAGACAAATTTCTCTCACTATCATTTCAAAAGGCAATTTTCTCATCATGCCATTGATAATCTCCTAACTTTCGCTCGTCGATTGGATTTAAACTAAAACTAATCTTTTCTAAATATTTTTTAATGAACATTATTTAAATATTTTTGATTCTATTCTGATCTATCAAATGGAGATCGAGTTTGAGGAAATATACGGAGTCAAACCACTCTACCGGATCAAATGCCCGGGACGAGTCAACTTGATCGGTGAGCATGATCTAATATCCAGAAAGGCAACATCTAAGATCTAATAAGTTATTTAATAAGTATACACTGGTGGTCATATGTATTAGTACCCTCTTGCAAAAAATCTTCTCTCAACGATTGCCCCTCTTAAAAGGCAGCCAAATTCAAAGTGCTAAAAAGCACTTTTTGCTAACAAGCTCTAGTCTCTAAAACCACAAAAAAATTGATTCGAAATGTTTATTATCTTTTTAAAAAATAGCAAGGACGGAAAAGACACCTCAAAAATGGTGGATAAAAGTATTGACACCTTAGCTTTTCCTTTATTTTTTTCTTGTTTACATTCATGTTTTGATGACTTTCTAAAATATTTAATTTTAGATGCCGTATCTACTGACTCCAATCAAAGAAAAGATCGTTGAAGGTCGAAGAAATGGAATGAAAACAGCAGATTTGGCTGAACAATTTGGATGCAGCGAGAGCACGGTAAAACGACTTTTTAAACAATCAAAGATTATCGGTTCTCTACACAGAGCTGCAAAATCTGGTCGACATCCATCAACAACAACTGCCGAGAATCGATCGATCATAGGGGAATTCAAAAAGGATCCAAGTCTCACCTCGACCGACAAAAGCCGCCTGTATAAATCACAATTCAGCACAGATATCTCAGCAAGGACCGTGAGGAGGCGACTCATCAAAGCAAAGTTGTACGCTAGACGACCAATAAAGAAGCCACGTATGACTCCTCGGATTCGGAAACTTCGTTTAGCCTTTGCTCGGAGGTACCAAAGTTGGACGAGTGACGATTGGAACCGAGTAATTTTCTCTGATGAGACAAAAGTTAATCTCTATCAGTCGGATGGACCTCCATTGATCAGGCGACCGATTGGAAAGCGGTTATTACTCAAGTACATCAAACCCACGGTTCGATTTGGGGGTGGAAATATTATGTGCTGGGGTATGAATTTCTATAGTTTTCTTCGTATAACTGTCAACTTGCAGGAGCGATGACAAGAAATGTGGTCGGTCCACTTGAGATGATCAATTCAACCATGAAGTCTCAGCGATACATGGGAATACTTGAGCAACGTTTACTTCCATTTGCGAGCAAAACATTACCTCAAGGATGGTTGTACTACCAGGACAACTCGCCAGTTCACACAAGCAAACTTATTATGGGACCTGTCGGAAGACTCTCGAATGGAAGACGGGTACGATTTCCGGGCTGGTTTGCGATTAATGGTGTTTCTTTGATTAAAGCATCTCCCTTTTCACCAGATTTGAACGTTATCGAGAATCTATGGTCGATTGTGAAAGCGAAATTGAAGGAGAAACACTTTTCGCCCAAGGCGAGCTTTGGCTCTATCTACGTCTTGTATGGAATCAAATTGGATCATCAGTTTTGCACAATTTGGTCGACTCGATGCCCAGACGGATAGAAAAAGTCATTCAAGCCAAAGGAGGGCCAATAGACTATTAAATTTACTGTTGTTTTTGCAAGGTGTCAATACTTTTGTCCACCATTTTTGAGGTGTCTTTTCCGTCCTTTCTATTTTTTAAAAGATAATAAACATTTCGAATCAATTTTTTTGTGGTTTTAGAGACTAGAGCTTGTTAGCAAAAAGTGCTTTTTAGCACTTTGAATTTGGCTGCCTTTTAAGAGGGGCAATCGTTGAGAGAAGATTTTTTGCAAGAGGGTACTAATACATATGACCACCAGTGTATATCCAAAAATTTGAGTAAACCAAATGGTTTCTAGGTGGATCAATTGACTACAATGGATATGGAGTGTTACCAATGGCAATTGACTTGAACATCGAGCTTCTTGTAGCACCGACAACTCAATCAAGAATTGAGTTCCGAAATTGCCAGCCTGATAAATACAAGTAAGCTTTTACAAGAAATTCAAGAAAATTGAAACTCTGATTGTTAAATTTAATCTAAAAATTAGCTTCTAAACTTTTATCTAAAGATCTTAAAGAGCTTGATCGATTTGCTTGCTTCATTCAACTTTATTAGACAGAGGGTTGGAATTTCTTGATTCTTCTGTAGTCTTGGTGTTATTGTTGCTGCTGTTGGTGTTGTTTATTCAAAAATTTTACTTCGGACCATTCTCAATGCCGCTACCTTCTCAATGGAACGGAGCCTCTCCTCCACAATGGTTCGACTATCCTCTGTGTGGTTGGAAAGGAGTGCTTGAAGCGATTCAACAGCCGCCAAGAGGCATGCTGATTCTTGTCAAAGGTTAATTTTTTCGAACTACTTACAATGTATCTAATCTTTAGGAACAATCCCACCCTCATCGGGTCTCTCCTCTTCTTCTGCTTTGGTCTGTGCTGCTGCACTTGCCACACTTGTCCTTCACACAGGGCATGGCTTCACAAGCATGCACAACAAGTAAGCCAAATAAACCAAAATTGCCAAGAACTACTCTAATCGAATTTCTAGGGAATGGCTGGCTGATCTATGTGCTAAGGCTGAGCACATGATTGGCACTTGTGGTGGTGGAATGGATCAAGCTTGTGAGGTGAGAGGAAAAAAGGGGTGATGGTGTTTTGAACGGGGTTATTTTAACTGGACCTCATGGTTTTAAGCCGGTTCAGGCCAAAAATCAGGTACAGGCACGCTTCTTTTTTGGGCTAAGACAACAAAACTTGACCAAGCAAGGGGACCAAGCCAGCTAGGATTTAGCTCCCGGTACAGTTTGCGAATCTCTGGACCCTTCTTTCTTCTTTCTTTTATCTTTGAATCCTTTAGAATAGAACCAAAACTTGTGCAAAGAGAATTTACTTTTTATTAGATTATATGTTAGATTATATGTTAGATAGATAGATTTGTTAGATTTCTTTGTTTCATTTCAATATGTAATCTGTTTTAGGTGAAAACGGCGATTCCGGCAAATGTATCAGCTGAAGAAGTGATCGCTGAAATTGGAAAAGATAACCTCACAGCCTTGCTAACAGAAAATACAAAACATAGTAAATTCAACGAATGAAACTTGTTTCTAAGAATAAACTTGATTTAGTGAAAGAATTCAACCTCAGACCCAGAGCTTTGCATTGTTTTGGAGAAGCCCAACGGGTGAACGATTTCGAAGAAGCTTGTAAACGAGAGGATCTCATTGCAATGGGTCAACTTATGAATCAAAGTCATAAAAGGTCTGCAGGCTTAAGTACGACAGAAAGGTTGTGTTTATCAAAACTAATTTGCCCTGTATTACGAATTACTAGTGTGTTATCCGTTGAATTCACTAGACGTGTGAGCTCTGTGATCTGTGATCTGTGAGCTTTCGCTTGAATAAATAACAAAACCAAGTTTATTCAATACCCGTGGGGCAAAGCGTGTGAAAATGAGGAAAGATTCTGACTAAATGGGGAAGAAGGCGTCCTTTTTATACACGTGTGAGCCCGACTTTGTTTAGAGTACGGTATTTCTGGTGTCTTATTAGATTTCGGCAGCTTTTTGGTGACTCGTCGTCACAGGGTTTCTGTGTTTAGTCCAAAGAATGATCAATTCATTTTAGTTTACAAGAAAACTACGAGAACACGAGTCCAGGGATCGATAAGTTGATCAATGAGTGCAAGTGAGTTTGAAATTTTGCTGGCTAGCAGTTAAGCAACAGCTAAGGTAAACAATAAATCTGCCTAAACATAAAAATCTAGCAAAATCTCAGAAAAGCTAATGTTCTTGGAGTGCGAATGACTGGCGGTGGTTGGGGCGGTTGTTTGGTGGCTTTGATCGACAAAAATAATCCGGTAGTTTTCTTACTGTTGTTAACCGATTCCCGCTCGGGTCTGAGGTCTGAGGTATGGGGACACCTCTGAGGTATGGGAATACCGTAAACCCCGAGGTATGGGGATACCCCTGAGGTATGGGAATACCGTAAACCCCGAGGTATGGGAATACCTCAGGGGTATCCCCATACCTCAGGGTTTACGTTTACGCAAACGCACGGCTTCTGGCAAAAGATTTTGATATATATGCACTATAAACGCAAAAAAATTTTGATCATTTTGATCACTTTTGGTTTAATTACCCAGCTTTGCTTTAGCAACAAAAAATTTAGTGCTTGCGTAGGTATTTCGTTTTTCCGCAGGTATTTTTTGTAAGTATTTCGGTTATATTCGGCTCCCCACTCCGGAAAAACCCCCAGATGCACGTTTTCAACTTGTTCTAACCTATTTTTCAGCTAAAGTACGCGCTATTTTCGGCCTTAGGGTTTACTAAAGTTGAAAACTAAACCGGATTCCAATTCCTCGTCCCGAAAAAACCCTAGGTAAAGATTTTCATTTTCAGATCTACAGTTAGCATAGAACTCTGTCGTCTGAATGGCCAGTTAATCGAAAAATGACTTCGTCGCAAATGTATTAAATTGAAAATCATAGAATTTCAGATTGATCTCTCACAGCTCAATGTGCTCTTTAACTCTTCACCTTGCCAAGGAATCACTTTTGAGGAACTTTATGATCAGAAATAAATCATTATACAAAAAGAATAACGATAAAAATTGCGAGCAAAAACGACGCAAACATTATTTGTGAGTCGGTTTAGTTCTTCAACTTCATTGAGAACAAAGTGCAATAAAAGAGGAAGTAATTGAAAGATTTTTGACCATCCCAGGCACACTCTACGACTCCGATTAATCATCAATTCTCCAATAGTAGATTCTCAATTATTTTTGCAATTTATAAACAATTTTTCTTTTTTTTCAACCTCCGAGGTTCACGCCACTGCCAATTATAGAAAAATTTATTTTTGTGATAAAATAGCATTCGATCTTCAAAAAGTTACCCTTGGGAGTCCGCCTCGCGATTGCCAATTAACGGGAATTCTCAGAAAGGTAGAAATGCATTGAAAACTTTCCGATTCATTCTTCAAATCTTACTCTGTCGAGACTATTCAGTGATGAACTGCACTGATATAACAAAATATACGACAAACGGCGTCTTGAAAGGACTTCTCTCTTTTCAAATCATTTGCTCATTCTCAACAATAGTCGCCATTTTTGTAACATCCAAGCGAGTCTTCACGTCGATTCTCATCGATTCGACCTTCAAGGAGCACTTATTTTGTTGCTATGTGGTGCATCTTATACAGGCGTTTTCGATGTTTTCCTCACAGGTATTTCAATGGATAATGAGTATCTATTAGGGTGGTGCAAAAGAAACTGCCGATTTGACGGTAAATTCAAAAAAAAGATGGCGTTCGATGGTGACATGATCACAATGGAATATTTTCGCAAAATCTCGAGCAGATTGGCATGGCTCGGTCTGAATAACGTCCCTCAGCTTGGCTTCGTTCACGACTGGCCTCGAACCGTGCTCGTAATCTTCCAAAGTCTCGTCTCCCTCTCGGAATCGTTGAAACCAAGTCTGACACTGCCTGAGAGACAAACTGCCATCTCCAAAAGCAGCACAGAGAGAACCATGCGATTCGGCAGCAGACTTTCCAATTTTGAAGTTAAACAGTAATGCTGCTCGTAGCACAAACTTTTGCTTCACCATGATCTAAATGAAAAATATAAGCATTTCTAAATAAAATAAACAAGAACCAAAAAATCCAAATTTCGAAATAAATAGCAAACAAATATGCGAAGAAAACATAAAAAAAATAATGCCGTTAGCATTGCTCGCTTCCGATAAATGAGAGCTGATACCCATCGGCAGTTTCTTTTGCACCACCTTAATATTAGGTACATGCATAAGAAATGCGGACTTCAACATTTTCATAAATTTCCAACGATAGAAACCTGATATCGATGAATGTTATAAACTATTTGAAAGTTGTAAATCTCCTCTACAAAATAGGCTAAAACGTGTTTCAATTAATCGAACCATTGAAGAAATTTCGAGGGCGAAATGCGAGTGACCAAAAAAGGAATCGAGTCACTTTAGGAACAAGCTTAGTGTGGTCAAAATAGAGTTAGATTCCCAAAATTGAAGATTCAGGTTTCTATCGTTGGAAATTTATGAAAATGTTGAAATCCGCATTTCTTATGCCTAATAGGTAACATTAGAGGTGTTACCTTTTGAGTTATTATTAAAATTAAATCACAAACTTGGTTTACGTTTAGTACTAGTAACTAGAGGGCGTTCCTCTCAAAGAAGTCTTTCTAAAATGAGGCCACCGTAGTTCATTAACTACCAAACTACCGTAGCGAATGGTCATTTGGTTAATGCGCTTGTTTCTAAAGCTTGTTTCTAAAAATCTATTTCCAATTGGGAGCCGAGTGAAGAATCCGGAACTTTTCGTAACCGGACCACAATGAAGGACAAAACTAACTGTTAAGAAATGCGAATTTCAACATTTTCATAAATTTCCAACGATAGAAACCTGAATCTTCAATTTTGGGAATCCAACTCTATTTTGACCACACTAAGCTTGTTCCTAAAGTGACTCGATTCCTTTTTTGGTCACTCGCATTTCGCCCTCGAAATTTCTTCAATGGTTCGATTAATTGAAACACGTTTTAGCCTATTTTGTAGAGGAGATTTACAACTTTCAAATAGTTTATAACATTCATCGATATCAGTTTTATCGATATCACACAGTCTGGATCAAAAACCATTAGTTCCTCGTTCAGAATACATAACACGATGGAATTCCCTTTATTACATGTTGTCTGATTGCATAACATTGGTGCTTTTAAAGTATCTTATAATTTGAATCGTTTTTAGTGGGCTGCCTTTCCTCAGTTTACTCATACCTGTATATGCAGAAAGCTGCATCGTGAAGTTTTTGGACGACCAAATATCAGTAGTCAACGCGATTTTGTCGGCTTCTTGCAGTGCCTCCTTTTTCTAGTACAATAAATTAGGATAGCAGTTGGGTAAAAAACTTACATTTGCTTCAACATTCGCATTCAGTAGATCAATCGATTCCATTAATCTTTTTCTTGTCAAAACATATCCCGATTGTGTGATTTCCAAAGCTGAGCGAAAACTCGGAGAATCTATCTAAGTTATATTAAATATCTAAGTTATATTGGCAAGAAGCCGACAAAATCGCGTTGACTACTGATATTTGGTCGTCCAAAAACTTCACGATGCAGCTTTCTGCATATACAGGTATGATTTCTCTGAATATTTTACATTTCTCATTACGCTTAGCTCATTACTTTGACAAAACGGGAGTTAAAAAGTCGTTGCTTTTGAAGACAAATGCTCTTTATGACAGGTAATACCTATCATATTTATTGCATTTATCTTTTATTCTAGACATACATCGGACAATCTTTTGATAGATCTCTCATCAACTCTTCAACACTACAATCTTGCTGATAAAATAGTTGCTGCAGTCTCCGATGGGGCGGCTAATGTGCGGAAAGCGATTCGAGACGGAGGACACCAATGGTTTTTCAATCAAATTTCTTATTTGTAATATTGTTTCAGGGTGTATTGTACAAGCCATAAACTCAATCTGGTAGTGCAAAAAGTCTATAAGATTGCTTCACTCAAGCCGATTCTCAGTAAATTTAAAGAAACGATTAATTTATTTCATCGGCATAACTTTTATCGAAAAATGTTTATCAGGCTTGTGGTTTTTTCTTTGTCTATAAGTCAAGTTTAGTTATTGCACACAGTCTGGATCAAAAACCATTAGTTCCTCGTTCAGAATACATAACACGATGGAATTCCCTTTATTACATGTTGTCTGATTGCATAACATTGGTGCTTTTAAAGTATCTTATAATTTGAATCGTTTTTAGTGGGCTGCCTTTACTCAGTTTTGGCTTTCACAAAAGAAAGAGATTCTATCAAACGATTTGTGCTCGTCGTTAAAATTTGTGCTATCCTTGCACCATTTGACGAAGCTTCTAGACAAGTAAACTTGCTAACAGTAATTAAAATTTACTGATTTAGTTGTCTTATGAGGATGCTCACATTGCGATGATTATCCCAACTCTGAAAAAATTGCAATTCCAAACGAAAATGTAAGAATACTTTTTACTTGTAATCTATGAGTTTAGGTTTTTGGCAAATGAAGAAGTTTTCTTTTTTGATGAAAATTTGATGATTTCGCAACCTATCAACATTTATTTGAACGAGGAGTAAAAACAAATGAGATACGAAGAAGAAGGAGACAAAATTTCCGAAGAAACCCAAGATTTCTTGAAATTTTCCGTGCTAATCCGGAGTTTAAACCTGCGGTCAATAATCTCCGGATGGTAACTGATCCTGATAACTGGTAAGTGATCAAAAGAAACAAACGAGTCTCTGAATTGTCAAGTTGTTGGGCAAAAATTTCTCTTTGCCGACAATCTCGTTGACCCCAAAAAACGTCACTCCAGCCGGGAATTCTGAGGCGCAAAATGATTTGGTTAAAGATCTCTTGTCTTGTGACGAAATCAAGGAATAACTTGCTATAGAAATAGTTGAAAATCTCGTTAAATCTGCTTGCCGGAGTTGTTGTTATCAAACGAAAGCTATTGTCTGATTTTCCTGAACAAATTAGCTGTATAATTGCTTTGTTGTTGATGTTTAATCTGCATTTTTAATCTGGCGAACGAGCGAATAATAGAAAATGACAAAAAAACAAAAGTCTCATAAGGGCTTATCATTAAAATACAAATCTTACCTGCTATGCTAATTTGTTTTTATGAAAAAACGGCCAGTGTAATGAAGAAGCTAATTTGCAGTTAATTTGCATACCAGAAACGGCCAGTGTAACCTTGAGCGGCGAATGTAAGGCGAATCACACCCCGAACTGTATAATGTTTAAATTGTTAGAGATGGGTCGTCAAATGAGTAGGCTCAGATCCGATGGCTCAGATCCGAAACTTATCCACCGAATCCTTCTCAATTTTCCGTGACCGAAAAACTCGTAATGCTTGTTTGTTAGTGTTCTTTTCTTAACCCACCGTGCCTCAAATAAATGGGTGAATAGAGGAAGATCATATTGAGCACTGTGGCTACTCCAATTGAAGGTTTTCTAAACAGCCTTTTTTTGAGAGTCGCAATTCTTCGAAGGAATTTTTATAATGGAATATAAGACTGGAATATAAGAGTTTTTATACGACCAACTTCTCTAAATAAAAGCTATATACAGGGAGGTTTGTACAATGTAAGCACGAAAAAATTGTTCAATGCTTTAAGTGTTTCGTTTTTGTTCTACTTTTATTTGTCGATTTCGTCACCTCATTTGGACAGCAGAAATGAATGAATCTTGAAAAAGAAATATCAAATGATGACGAAAACAGAAGACGATGAATGCACAATATTTGATGTAACATTCTTTAACCTTATACATGAAATTAAAAACTTCATTTACAAAAAGAAAGTATTGATCAACAAACGGCGCTATCGATAACGATACAACAAAGAGGCCTATTATCGTCAAAGAGCTCCACAAAAACATCTGAATCATTGAGCTCCTTTGCGCTTTCTTCCCATCAAACTTTTCCGTTCTATTAACAATTTTCGTTTTTAGAAGACTTAATGGTCTTCGAATGATCGTAAACAACTTTGGAATGTGAGAAAGTCTCAGTTTGGTTCCGCGCTCAAAAATTTCTTTTCCTATGCCCAGCTTTGTCACTTCTTCAAGAGTTACCATTTCTAAAAGGGCTTCAAAGCTTTTGCCATTGGTTTTCAGCGGGTTTTGATGCTCAGCAAGTTCTTCATAAATCCTCTTAAATAATTGATCGTTCAATGAATGAGAAAATTTTGCTTCGTCTAACCATTTGCGTTGTTCTTCTAACGACCCATTTGGGAGAACAATGTCTCGAAAGAATTCAACGCTAATTTTTGATATTGTGCTCGAGTGTTGCTTGAGTTTCTTCTTCACAATAGACAATTCCCTCAAAATTGGACATCCGTTTTCCTTTTGACAACATTTGACAAAAAATTTCTTGCAGATTTTCTCAACCAGATCCTCGTTTAGGTAATCAATTAGATCAAGTTCGCAAATTTCGACTTCAGAGTTTACGCAAGAAAGTTCACATGGAAACATCTCAAGGTTTCCATTCATACAGAGCACCATTTCGGGATTATCTTTGAGCGATAGTCTACTTAAAACCATGCACGATTCTCCTTCTTTTGAACTTTTTTGAACAGAAAAGTTTTCGAGGTCGGTGCCATCTCGCACAGTTTTCGTAAATATGTGATTTGTGTGACAGCTCTGACAAATTGCGAAAGATCATCGAGATCCCGAATTTTAAAGAACAAATCCACAAGCTCAAAGTAGAGCTCGACGTACTCTGGGAAGTGCTCGTCACAACACGAGTGACAAGTTATCGACAACCGGGGAACGCGCCATGATGGATGCATAATCTTGTGCGGATCATGGCGTGGCCTGTGCTCACAAAAATATTGGGGTGGAAAAGCGATCTCAAAGATGTATCCTTTAGCTGGTAGATCTTGCCCCTGGCTTTCAGAAGACCATCCACGAAGCTTTTCTTTCATTGTTTTTAGAGCCGGAGCGAAGAGTCGATGCAACACATCACCGCACTTCGAGAGAATATCCTCCGGTGTTGCCGATGTCGATATTGCTTTGTAAACTTGTGGTGAAACGAAACATTTAATCATCTCAGAGCTTGTTGCTGCTTCGTGTGGCGTATAGTAAGGCAGCCGATCCCACCATTTCACCGGTGTTCTCTTCTCCGTTTGTTTTTGGCCATGTTTTCGATAGCGCCTCTTACAGGGGTAAAGCTCGCCAAAGTCGATGTGAAAATATTTCGAATAAAGACTGATGGTTAACCAAAACTGTACAATAGTAAATAGACTTAAATCGGCTTTCGATTCACGATCAATAAGTTTCTTTTTCATCATTTTTCTTTCAACGTCGCATTCTCTAGTGACAAGCTGGCTTAGGTAGTCGGCAAGTCCAAGATCTTCTTGGTCCCAATCAAAGTGATCAGTTCGAACTAAAGAAAGTTTACAGATTTTTTATTATTTGCAAAATAACAAACTTTCGTCTTCCTGAAACTTTGGAGGCTGTGGTAATTTTAAAAGCGTTTCCTTCTCGTCCTTCTTTGGCATAAAGGCAAGTTTTTCTTGTATTCTTTCATACAGCAACTAGACGAATATTTGGGAAAAATTTCAAAAAAGCGGTGTAACCTTTTTATGCATAGTCACATCGGCTAAAGCATGTAAAGCTTTAATTCGTTTGATCGGCTCAAATTGAACACAACTAAAAGCAAAACTGGTTGCAATATTTGGAACTTTTTTCCTCACCCAAATATAAGCTCCTTGAGGTATGGATAACACACAAGCTTTTCCATTTGACTGAGATCTTTCTTTTGCCAAAATCTCGCTTTAAAGGCCTCGTTGTCGAAGTTGACACCAAAAAGGTTTCTAACAAGGGAATGGTCTCAGTTCAAAGTTCGGAATCGACAGGAAACACAGTGCATAACATAGAATTGGTAATGGCGAACAAAGCGCGACAAAAATTCGCCGCTAATAGCCACGGAAACGCGAGGAATCTGGCAGAGATGAGCTCGTTGCCTAGTGGATAAAGGCTTAGGTCTGTGCAACGGCCGTCGTATTTTTGCCCTCGAGTTCACTTCCAACCAGTTGCCAAATTTTTTGTTTTTTTTTGCGACTCTTGGTACTATTTCGTCTTTAAAGAAAACTAAATTTCAATAAAATCAAATAAATTTAACATTTTTGCCACATTTTTTGGACACTCTGCGATACAAGTTTTCAACCGGGAAAACGAGAAAATATACCAAAGTTACTTTCAATCACCCATAAACAATTTGGAGCAAATTAATATTAGAAATTTCGTCTGTTTTCTTGGCATTCTAGTGGTTAAGTCGATGACAGTCGAGACAAAAGAAAAATTTGCATGTAGTTGGAATTGAACCCGAGAGCAAAAATAGGACTTTCATGGACCTAAGCCTTTATCCACTAGCACACGACCTCACCTCTGGATAGCGGCAAGAGAAGCCTTATAAAGGAAGCAGTTTTGAATCCCGATTTTGAATTCCGTTTTGTTTTGAATCACGATTGTGCCAGATTCCTCGCGTTTCCGCTTTATCGCTTTATCGACTAGGCCACGGCTCATCTCTTCCCGGCAGCAAGAGAAGCCTTATAAAGGAATCAGTTTTGAATCTAATCTTGATTTTTCATGCCAGATTCCTCGCGTTTCCGTGGCTATTAGCGGCGAATTTTTGTGGCGTTTTGTTCACCATTGCCGATTCGATGTTATGCACTGTGCTTCCCGTCGATTCCGAACTTTGAGCTGAGACCATTCCCTTGTAAGCATTTTTTGGTTAATTTTGCTATTATTAGCTTACCTTCGTTCAACCATTTCCCAACAAACAAGCCCCGCCGAGTACATGTCAGATGCATACGTGATCTATTAGGCAGAAAAGTATGAAACTTTCGTTTCTTTTATTTTGATTATTTTAAAATTTAAATATCTCGATGAATGTTTAACCGACTTTTATTCTCTTTTGTTATTTTTTTTAGCAAAAACGTGAAACTTTAATGGGTGCTTAGCGAAATATTAAATTTTAAATTGATCAAAATCTTGGGTTGCGGAGTATGACTTGGCGGCGACATCGAAAAGCTTTCCCCAGGCACAAAAAGGTATGTGTCAATGTATTAATATATATTAAAGCCTATGGTTTGTATCATCAAAAGGTTCATCATTTCTCTGTAAAATGGCTTTTGAGAGATTTTAATAAGTTTTTGTTTTTGTGGATTTTATGGGCTCCTAAACACCGCCAATCAAAATATTAGGCTGTAAAGAACCTCGTCTTTTCGCACTTAAATATAACTCAACAATACATCAAACGCTTCCCGGTTTACTTCCCGCTTATAAAAGTAAATTTTATTCCTCATAATCACACACGAAAATCAGAAACAGAAATATTCGCATTTGCGTCATTTGCTGAATGTCACAAAGAGTCCGTTTATTGAGTCAAATTTGAGTTTTTAGAAAATACTACTTTTCTAAAGTTATTTCATAAAAAACAGAAATAATTTGACTAAATTGCTGATTTTTGCTTTTGACAAAAGACAATAAACAGGTTTTTTTTTCCAAAAACAACTTTTAAACTTTTTGAGAAGTCACCATTTTTTGAGTAACTTCAGCAAAACTATGGTAAAATTTTTATTTAGTTTACGAATTTTTGACTTTTAAAAAGAAACTTGTATTAAACAGTTCCCGCTATCAAAAACTGAAAACCGTTTGAAGATATCTTTTATAGGTAAAAAGTTATACGACGTTGAACTGACGCGACAAAGTCTTTCTTTGCAGCCTAATAGCAATGAGTTTGATTCGTTGTTTGACCATTTCTTCTTCGGCAACTTATTTGTTGCTAATAGAAAGAAGATAGAGCATATTTGATTAGCCAAATTTTTAAAGCGATACCTCTTCTCTTTTCCTTAAATGACTATTTTCAGGATTTACGAAAAATGGAACTTTTGTTGAATTGGGACGCTTCCTAAGTTTTCTTTCAAATGCCATTTTGTTTAAAAATTATTGGAAATTATACTATTCTTAAAAATTGATAATCATTTAATAAAGATTACCAAGTTTTCTAGGGATTTCTTTGAATTTCGCTGCCATTACATATTCGCTAACCTAGTAGAAAACGAGATTTTCATACTTTCCCAATCAATCAAGCAAAATATTGGGTTGTCCAGTTATGAATGCGCGTTTTTTACTATTTTGTAAATTTCTCAAGATACCGAAATCAAGAAAAAGATATATATGAGTATTATTCGAAAGCTGAAGATCTCCTCTACATTTTGATATAAAAAGTTTTTGAATTTGTTCAGCTTTTGGGCAAATTGACTGCACAGAAGAAGAGGTGGCCAAAAATGGAAGGGTGCCTTTGGATCAAGTTTTGGCTCCGCTCAAATTGAGTTAACCGTTTGATGTTTGGCCAATAGATATATCAATACAACTTTTTTTAAATATAATAATTTCAGAGCATCTTTGCTTTTCTTTTCTTTTCTGGGCGGTGATTTTGCACCATAAAACTTGAGGAATAGCTAAGCTGAAATGGGTTTTTTTTGAAAACGACCTCTCCCTTTGTGCAGTCAATTTCCCAAAAAGTTGAATGAATTCGAAAACTTTTTTATTCCAAAATGTAGAGGAGACCTTCAGCTTTCGAATGATATATAACACTCATATACATCTGTTCGATATCTTGCGAAATTTACAAAATAGTAGAAACGCGCATTCATAACTGGACAACCCAATAGCAGATATTTTAATTTGCCTATTAAGTCTACTTTTATACTTCAGAATCAAATGATTGTAAATTTGAACAATTTCTACCTGAGGATAGTCTAAAAGATGTCCGAATTTCAGTTCAGGGCACCGATATTTTTGGTGCCCCGCATAGGAATCGTCAATGGTTGCCCTATCAGTAGTCCGACACGCAAACGGTTTTGCACTTCCGAAATCTCCCAGTATTAAATGAAAAAGGTGATCAATCAGAATACTGAAAATGTAGATTATACGCTGAGTTGATTGCTGAATATCAACTTATCCGGGGCAATGTCTCGATGAAGGACGCTTTTTTGTTGGAGAAATACGAGAACGCTAAACAGTTGTTCCATCCAGCAAACCACCGTCAACATTGAATATGAGTATTTTGGATTGAAAATGCCTAGAAAAGAGTGAAAATTTGAAAATCTTTTTCGAATATGTTAGAGGGAAAAGGTGAGAAGCCTACAGCGTGGAGAAACTTCTAAACTTTTAAAAACTTCGTGATCTTTTAAAAATGGAATCGCCTTTTGTCGAAAGCTTTTTATTTCATTCTTGAGTCTGTTCTTGAATTTGTTCTTTTATTTTGGTTCCCTAGCCACTTCTGTAGTCTTTTCATTTTTTTACTTCATTCAGCCAATATTTTAATAAAAAAAACCGGTTTTGATATGCTTAGTCCCACCCGGGGATGTGTGGATTCGAAAAAACCCGGATCCTTCATTGTTCAAATTACCGTATTCTCCCTAATAGTATTGCACCCTGAGCGTCACCTAAATTGCTCGAAATCTCGAAAACCGCTTATCAGAACCTATCGATGTGGGGTCGAAAAATGTAGCTGACGATGAGATCTTGTGGGGGATTAGAGTGTTGAGTGTAATACGTAGTAGACATGAGCTTGGAAAGGGATTTTAATGATATGAGATGGGATGGGACTACGTCCTAGACTAGGGACGAGGTACGTAAATCATACCTCTTCTATAAGCGAGATTATGTGGCTTTGTCTTCGTGTGTCTGTGTGTTTGTCTGTTCGTGCGATTTCTCGCCGCATCAAGCGAATTTCGCCATACACTTTTTTACGCACATACGACGCGCAATTTTCTTTATTTGTGTTTATATTAAGGGTTTTTTGTTTCAGAGCTGTGTACAGTAGGGTCCAAAAGTTTGGAACCATCACCTTCCGGCAACTTCAACTCCATGTAACTTGCGTTAGATACATGCGATTTTGTTACTTTAAAAACTATTTTTGTTGCATTTTTTGTGAACTTCCTGAATATCTACTTGATTTTATTTGATATTTGATCTTTTTTTGTCTTGCGCTTTTTCTTGAAACACCCATTTTTTTTAGGGGTCCATAAGTTCGCAACGATTTCAAAAATAACAATTCATTTTTAATTTTAGGATGCGAAATTGTTTGAATTTGATGGAGTATGATAAAGAACGTATTCTGGCTAAAGTAAATCGAGGAAAGAGCCGTCAAAAAGGCGCCACCACATTCGGTGCCACCCGTTCAGCAGTAACCAAGATTTATAACAAATGGAAGGTTTCCGGAAATGTGTAATAAGCAGCTGCATCCATACTACCATTGATTCTGACCGTGGATTCCATTGATTCTGACAAGTGGACCGACATCGTATCGTCAAAAGCAACCTAAGCAACCGGAAGGTGATGGTTCCAAACTTTTGGACCCTACTGTACATAGCTCTGAAACAAAAATCCCTTAATATAAACACAAATAAAGAAAATTGTGCGTCGTATGTGCGTAAAAAAGTGTATGGCGAAATTCGCTTGCTGCGGCGAGAAATCGCACGAACAGACAAACACACAGACACACGAAGACAAAGCCACATAATCTCGCTTATAGAAGAGGTTTGATTTACGTACCTCGTCTCTAGTCTAGGACGTAGTCCCATCCCATCTCATATCATTAAAATCCCTTTCCAAGCTCGTGTCTACTATATATTATATTATCAAAAACTTACACTCTGCTAGAGTTTTATTCTCAACGAGACGCATGAAGATTCCAACAATATTCTCTCCATCCTTCACACATCCAACATATTGAACAACTCCTCTGTGTTTTAAAGCTTTCAAAAACTCCACTTCATCTTTTCGTTGTTGATTCCTTTGTTGAATCGCTAATTGCGCAAGGCGAGCGTTGTGATATTGTTGTGGATTGAATTTCGTGTCATCGAAGTATTTCAAAACCACCGGACTAAAACAATGATAACGATTACAAGTATTGGATTGTTGCATTAGAAAAGAATTTGTTGAGCTCGATTTTCGGGGAAGGCTAATTTCCGCAAGGGTCGTTTGCGCCACTCGCCATAACTTTCTTCTAAGTCGGCCAATCTTTATGATTTTGTTTTCATTTTGTAGGTCCCAATAAGTGCAACAAAATGAAACCAACATCGTAAAGATTGGCCGACTTAGAAAAAAGTTATGGCGAGTTGCGCAAAAAAATTGCGGAAATTAGCCTACCCCCGATTTTCAACAAAGATTTTTCGAAAACCAAGTGATTAACTAAGTGATTTTTTGTCAAAAAAAGTCACTACTACATACCATTTTAAACGTAATCAGAGCTATAGCTACGAAAAAATTTGGGGGTGGAGAGTTGATTCCAGTAACCCAGAGCCCCAATACTAACATTGGCATTTGTACACTTGTAAGCTTTTGTAACATTTGCATTTGTATTTAACGTTTGTAAACTCCCGGAGACTTCTCACGGAAAAAGTGCAAAAAAAATCAGTATTGACTATTTTCTTGCCCAGTAACGTTTCGATTTCTGTGAAATTTGTATCATAGTGTCAGGAAATTTTGTCCCCTTTCTTTTAGTCGAAAAAAAATTATATTGAAACAGAAAACTATTTACTTAAAACGTTTCTCACTTTACTAACCATCAAAAAGAATGGAAAATCTTTTCGAAATTGTTGAAGAAATCAAATAAATTAAAGGAATCAACATCGTTTAGTTATATCTTTTGTAACTTACGGATCAGAGTAACCGGTTATCGAATAGAGTTGTCCGAAGCCGCCATTTCCGATTGCTTCTTGCGCTAGAGTTTTCTGAACGAGCGAATCACTTAAAGAGCGCTCTCGCAGAGAATCGTTTGGCATCGTTTCAGTACTTCGACAGAGTTAATTTTCTACAACCGAATAAGTTTTTATTTTGCGGAACTAATGTTCGTTTGAATTTATGACTCTGCTACCTTTTTTGGCGGTTTTTGACCTTCCTCCAGACTCTTATCTGATTTTGCGCGAACATGTTTTGTATTAGGTTTCTATGTTGAAAGGGAGAATAGAGTAAACAAGATTGTACCAAATAGATGTACTTTTGATTAAACTATTTTGCAGGAGAAAAGGAGAGAAAAGAAGGGCGTCGAAAGTTGGATCTTTGAGCTTTGGATCTACGAAACTCCAAAACATCGAAACCTGAGCTTTGGATAAAACAGAATCAGGTGAGTCTCCAAATAAATCTCTAATATTTAGAGTTCAATTTTTTTGAGATTCATTTTCAATAACAATGCCTTTGATAGCTTTATAGTGCGCTTTAATTCTGGGCGCGCGGTGTTTCGCTTGCTAGTCATGCAGGAAGTCATTAATATTTTTGATAGACCCACCAAAACTCGTCTTGCTTGCTATGAAAGTTCATAGCAAGCTATTTTTGTGAAAATGCATTTTCACAGGATTTTTCAAAGTAAAATTTATCTTAATTTTACGCACAGTAAAACCTCGTTAGTATTGGGTTGGTGAAAACTGCCGGACCTTGAACTAAAATTTATTGAACATAAAACCATCAATTCATTCGAAATAATTTCCATTATTATTGACGACTTCTGCCCATTTTACAGGCAATTTGCGGATTCCTCTTTCGTAGTAGGATTTTGGTTTGCGTGTGAGACAAGTGTGAGACTCAAAAATGGAGGACTGGAGATGTCCCAGTTTGAGCACTTTCTTTAAAAGAAACCCATTTTGGTGTCAATAGAAAAGTTGTAGCGAATCAAAAATTAGGCTTATAGCCAAATTTCCAAGAAGATACACTTAGTAGTTTCGCTTAAAATGCAAGTTTTGTTGCAAGTGTTGTGAAAATTCGTAAATTTGGCACTTCTTGAAAACCAGTTTTTGAATCGTTCTGAAAATTTGGATATAAGTTTAATTTTTGATTCTCTACAACTTCCAATACAACTACAATAGCCCGCAGTTTTCAATTCACCAACCCAATAACTCAAGGAGAATCGAAAAATCTATTTACTATCGAGGTTTTGACCCAATCTGTCTTAAAATGCTCTAAACAACTTGAATACGCTTCAGTATAACTTGTATAACTGCTACTTCAGTATAACTGCTACATCAAGTCGTTTCCATAACTCTTCAAATCCTTGATCTTCAATGTCGTTATCAAATTTTACATAATTTTACAGCCACTCGTGATTTTGCGTTTTTTGGATAATCGAACGACTTGTTGCAAAATTGTCTTTTAGCTAATGTTTCTGATCAAAAATAACAAATAAACATCATAAGAAAACCAAAAAGTCAATAATCTTTTAATCTAACTTTTTTAAAAATTAGCATTTATTCAAAAAACACTTTTGGCAAGTGGTCATAGTTTTGCAGCCACTCAAAAAATCTTCAATTTTTGATGAATAACTGCGTTTCCTTTTATTCTTTCATTTTTAGTCTTAGTTTTTAGTCAACTAATGTGTCTTTTTCAGGTAAAATGGGCAAGGGGAAACGTCTGACTGATAAAGAAAGAGGTCGAATCGATGGCTTGAAAAAAACAACTGAAACAACCAAGCCATCGGACAGAAAACTGGGCGTCCCCATTATGTTGTCGATTCTTACATCAATGATTCAACAGGATATGGAACGAAAAAGCATACTGGACGCAAAAAGCCACTACCAAACAGTTAATTCTTCGAGAAACAAACAGACAAACAAATCAAATTCCAGTTTAGTAATTTTCTGGTTTCACTCACTGTTCACAGTTCACAACAACACTTTCGTGAAAAATTAAGTATGTTTTTTGCTCCTCAAACCGGATTAAGAGGCCAAATATCATCACCGGTCCGGCTGACACACCGGAGATGCTTGTTATCAGAGCAAAAATTCGCACAGAAATGATGATAAATTTCTCTATAAATTCAGAAAAACGTCTCTTTCTTTAACATTTGTTCTTTGTTTATCAATAGAAGTTTGACTCTATGTATATGCGGCTGCTGTTGTTAGGTGGGAAAACTTTTATAGTAAATATCTTATAGTAAATATTTTATAGTAGATTTTTTGCTATTGTTTGCAAGAAAATGTTCAAATATAAGAAAATAACTTATCGAACAATAATCTACGATATTTGAACTATACTTTTACGGTGTGTTCCCCCATGCCCCCCCGGAGTACCACCGGAGTATCCCCGGAGTACCGCCCACATGTTACCCAATTGCCAGAGGCACACTACGTTTTTTTGTGCTTTTTTCGCCGCTCACTTGACCGATTTGGCTATAGTTGGTTTCATTCGATAGCCCTGATTAATATCTATCGAATGAAACCAAATGTGGCCCTGATTAATATCTATCGAATGAAACCAACTGTAGCCCAGATTAGTATCTATCGAATGAAACTAACTGTAGCCAAATCGGTCCAGTGAGCACCGAGAGAAAAAAAAACAAAGAAACGTCCCGTATTTATGCTAATTGAAGCACAGTCTCCAATTGAAGCACAGTCTCCAATTGAAGCACAGTCTCCAATTGAAGCACAGTCTCCAATTGAAGCACAGTCTCCAATTGAAGCACAGTCTCCAATTGAAGCACAGTCTCCAATTGAAGCACAGTCTCCAATTGAAGCACAGTCTCCAATTGAAGCACAGTCTCCAATTGAAGCACAGTCTCCAATTGAAGCACAGTCTCCAATTGAAGCACAGTCTCCAATTGAAGCACAGTCTCCAATTGAAGCACAGTCTCCAATTGAAGCACAGTCTCCAATTGAAGCACAGTCTCCAATTGAAGCTATTTTAGGAAGGGATTGAAAGTTGAAAAATAGAAGCAACATATTTTTAAAATGCACTACTTTGCACCATTTTATCCATTCTCTTGCAAAACTCTTCATTATTGCAAAACTCTTCATTATTGCAAAACTCTTCTTTCAAACTCTTCAAACTCTTCAAACTCTTCATTCTCTTCATTTTCATTCAGCAAAAGTATAATTTGAACAACAGTTCAGTTCAGTTTTAACCTTTTTCGTAATTGAACGTCGAGGTATTTTTGTCAAGTTTGTCAAGAGATTCTCTATACAAAATTGTCAAAAGAAAAATTGTTGGTTTGCAAATTTCAGAAATTGTAATGAAATTTGTAATTCATTGACTTTTGTTTCTTAAGCGTCTCTCTTCTTCGCCTCAACACAAGCAGATTGTGATGCTAATGGATTGGACGCTGTACGTGCTTGCTACAAGGATTTCCTCGGATTTTACGGCCTCGATTCTGGAGGTAAGCAAGCACAAAACAAGTTTTTTGATCATTTCTTTCATTTTTCTATCAGTTACAGTTTTATAAGTATCAAATAGCTACTCCAGTTACCACATCTACACGTGCTATATCTCTCGTGATGACTTTTTAGCTCTATTGCCTCCATTTCCCACGTTCACCTTGGTTCGAGATGAAACTTTGAGGAAATCGGGGGTCGACTATTTGCGGAAGGTTTGCGAGTGAGTTACAAGGCAAAATGTCACCTAATCTTAAGATAGTAAATCAGTCAGTGATACGTGAGCCATTTACGTGTTGCTCACTTTCTTCACAATTGATTTGCTAATCAACGTACGGTTTTTGTAACTAAAAATGTTTCTTGCTTACTTTAAGTCATTCTCAAAGAAAAACCAACGAAATTTCAACGTTTTTTCAACAAAATTTGAGACAAAAACGCTTGTTTTTCTTGAAATTCAAGAATTTGCCGTAGAACGAGAATGGCTAATTTGTTTGAGCCAAAAATTGTGGCCTAAGCGTTGCGTTGAAAAACAATTTCCCTTACACAAACGCGCATCAACTTTTGTCGCCCATTTTGTCGTTCTTTCTTAATTGCAATCAAATTTTCTTCTCGAACCAGGATCCTTCCGGCTCGATGCCAGCGATTTACCTATAGACCACAGCTTTCGCCATCCGGTGTGGGGAATTTGGGTAGAATATTGTCGGATTTCGGGTCTTAAACTTTGATGCCAGATATCTTGCGATACAGAGCTCCATTGGAAAAACTAAAAGCAGATTCAGAATCCCCATTCAAGGCTCTATCAAATACCCTAAGTGCGCATCAAAAAGGCAACCTTGACCTGGTGCCTTTCCCTAGTTAGATCTCAGTTGTACAATCCTTCCTACAGACTTTGCTTTTAATATTTGTATAAAATCTGCATAACTTTTTACGCTGAATTCTTTGTTTAAGAGAAAATAAGTTTTCAGCCTTTAGTTGGGCTTCAAAGTTGACTCGAAGAGGATTTTAAGAGCAAAAGTTCAAGGTTTAGACAGCTGACAACTGAACGATAGTAAAATATCGTATTATCGTGATTATGCTAATATTAGCTACTCTTATTTTACAATTTGTTTTCAGAAATGCTGCTCAATTGTATCAATGCACAACGCCATTTGCAACTCCACTCTACAGTTGCCTGATGAACATGACATTGGACAGCAGTGGTTTGTAATTTGAAAGTTTGGATTTGAGCTATAGCAGGGATTGGCAATTGGCAATTTAGATTGGCAATTTGCCTCAAATTTTCCCCTTTTTAAGAAGCTCAAGGTCATCTTCTGAGATGAAATTTTTTGAACTATTAAGATCGATTCAAGAAATTTTCTTTCTAATGAAAAGCTTGAACATTCGACGCTCAAAATAGCCGTTTCAATTGGATCTTTGTAACGAATTTTTCTGTAAGCGTTGTTAGATCAAGCCTTAAGCCAAAAAATGACTTTTTTCCCAAAAATCTCCGTTTTTAAAAACTAACCAACCGATCGGGGTGAAAATTTGGCATAAATCTAGTAAACAATTCATCAAAAAGAGTGTTTTTTTGTTTTGAAATACTTTGTTTATTTGTTTGAATTGCTCTTTTGGTTGTCAATCAATTTTACTTCAGAAATTTCTCAATTTTCAACTTACCAACGTCTGAAACTTATTCGTACAGCTTATTACAAATACAGCTTATTCTGAAACTTATTCGTACAGAATAACTATTAGAGTTATTCTGTATGAATAAGCTTCAGAATAAGCTGTAGTTGTAATAAGCTGTATGAATAAGTTTCAGACGCTTTTTGTACGCGCACGATCAAGCATCAGGACAATATCAGTGCACGGACGGATATCCAAGTAGGCGATCAAATGATAACCCAAATCCAGCATTCACATATTACTTCTAAATTTAGCCTGGGTAAAGGATTTTGATTGTATCGCCAAAGTGAAGTATGAGTATTTGAACGAGCTGGCGGTAATTTTTCGTTAAAGATTTTAATCATGCTTTTCATAGCAATGCTATGCTTTATACTGGATTGAATTGGTTGAAAGCGCCGATTTCTGCACGTGAGTTATCAAAAAGTCTGACTGATTAGGTTTAGATTTCAAGGGAATCATATCATAGCATACCATACAAACATACATACAGATAGGCATACTTTAATAAGTAAGTACACTTTAATACCTCTTATAATAAGTACAATATGATAAAAACAGCCATTTAGTCCATACGCCGACCCAGCTGGCGCCTACAACAGTTATATGGCGTGTAAAGCTCCATATTACCAAAAGGGATGCAACGGCGATCCCAATGCGGCCGCCTTCAGTTGTGCATCGGATCGAGCTGCCTTTGTGGGTGATTGACTCGCGGTAGATTAATTAGGGCCGTAGATTAAAAAAATTTGAGGAGAAGGACCTTATTTTGCCCAAAAACAATATGCAATATTTTGTCTTTATGTTTTATATTTTGGGAAGGAGGAGAGATATATTTGACGGCCCCTTGCCCGCTTGACCTTGTTCACGGTCATTGGAATTGAATCTCCTCGCTTGGCCTTGTTCACGGTCATTGGAATTGAACTAGATCGGAGTAGAAATTAGATGAAATTGGACCTGGCCAGTAGATTGAAAAACCAGTAGATGAAATTGGACCGGGCTGTGCACCGGTCACACTTCTTTCCTAAGAGAGCTCTTTTTAGAGTGAGCTCTTTTTAATTAAAAAATCGTTATGGTAGAGAATTGACGGAATATTTTTTAAATCAGGAGAACAGCATTTTTCTACGATATATTTGACTTCTAATTAAAAGAAACTCCGGTACTTGTGGAGTATCCGGGGTAGAGTGTGTTCCTTGCAGACAACGCGTTTTCTAAAAAGCGCGCGCCAAGGATAAGCTACCGTAACCCTATGCTTTGCAATTTTTCAAACGCAAATGTACATTAAAATCTTGCGCTCTTTTTTTCTATTACTCTTTCCATAACTCTATTACTCTTTCCATAACTCTATTACTCTTTACATAACTCTATTACTCTTCCCATAACTCTATTACTCTTTCGCTAAAACTTAAAAATTTTTAAATGCTATGTAAAATTAAAGAAAACATTTAAAACGGGAAAAGTTAAGAAACACTATTAGAAAATTATATTATTGACGAATTTAGCAGGCCTATTGTCTATATTTGCACTAGAACCATTACAAAAAAAATTCCACGCCCTAAAAAACCGAAATCCTTAAATAAAACTATCCATTACTATATTTTAAGAAAAGTTTGCAAATTTTTTTCGCGCGACCTTTATAGCTTTGCTTAAAAAGCGCACCTTTTAGAAAACGCGTTGTCGGAAGTTTGTCGGATCAATTGTCTGACAAAAAAGTTGTCAATGAAAATTTGTCTGACAAATTGTCTGTCAACAAGGAGCACACTCTAATCCGGGGGGTCTTTCAATATCCGGGGTGGTAAAATTTTATATACGTTATAAGTGATTTGGTGGCACAAATTCCCTTCAAATGTAAAGATATTCAATTTATTCGAGGTGATTACTTGATTACGTGATTCGAGGTGATACTCGATCGAAAACGTAACTTCTACAAAAATTTTTTATGTCATTATTAGAAATGTTGCTACTATCCTAGTTGGCGGGTCACTTTTTTTTTCTTCAAAACCATTTTTTGGGGTAGTTTTATGTGTTGATATTTGGCCTCCTGGCCTAGAAGTAAATTCGATAGATTTTTACAAGTAGTATTCATTGCCACTGTTACAAATAGTCACTGTTGTACTTCACAAATTTATTTAATTATTATGTTTGGTACCACACGCAAACAGCGGTAAAGCCATATTAACAAAACAAAAAAACATTTTTGCGCATTTGGTTGGTTTTTGAAAATTTACCCCGGATCTATTTTACCACCCCGGATATTGAAAGACCCTCCCGGATAGGATAGGAGAAAACAAGTACCGAGTTTTTTTCAGCGTCTACTCCTCTTGAGTCTAAACTGATAAGTCAAATTCGCCATTTTTGTCTCACGACTATGCACTGGACTCAAACGGCGCTAGCTACTTTAAAGTTATTTGACAGAAAACAAAGATTTCAGTCTTGATATGATGGGCCATCAAGACTGGTATCCTCGTCTCGTCTTAAGGCTACACTTTTTTGCCTAATTGACAGTAAGACGATAAAGTCGAAAAAAAACGACAAATTCTTTTGTCGTTTTTATAGGTAATCTACAACTGTGTAGCTTTTCCCTCCCCGTTTATATCTAATATCTATTGATAAGCTTAGATCTAGAAGCAAGCTGACGAACATCTTAGGCTGTCCAGAAAATCGTTTCACGAATCTCTAAACCCCCCCCGGATACTCCACAAGTACCGAAACTCCTTCTAATAGGCACTATTTATTTGGCTCCTTTCAATTGCACAAAAAAGCTTAAAAAGAAGCGGAAACGGAAGATAAAACTCAAACAATCAAACTGAAACGGAAGATGATACAATGATTAAGAAGATCAAAAATCTTTTTTTAGTTGTCCGACCCAGATGGACAGATATGTGAGCAAAAAGGCCTGCTCCATCAATGCCCACCATATCGATAAACATAAATTCGAGTATTGGATTGAGTTTACTTTATATTTGAGCACCAATAAAGTATTTGTTAACATTTAAAAAACAGACTCTCAATAGAATAGTTGTTGAAAGCTTAAAGAAATAGAAAGAACAGAAATCTGTTTTTGAGATATATTACGGATCAAGTTACAGAACAGTTCACAAAAGCCTGAACATTTAATTGTTTTCTGGTGGATGGATGTAGTAAATTAAAACAGCGGCAGTGGTTTTCTGGTAGATTTTTTAGCAACAAATTTGGCCAAGTATATTGGCGAGAGGAAAGCGATGAGCTGCTTCAGCAAAAAAGTATTGGTTTTGCCGGAAAATCTTGTCCGCCTTTTTGAAAATGTCATTTATAAATGAATAATTGGCCGATCAGCGTATGGTTGCTTTAAATAAAAAAGATTAACTGTTACATTTAGCTTTTTAGGCAAATTTGAGCCCGCTTTGAAGCAAATCCAAACGGGAATTCTTGTTTTTCCTAAAATCCAGACAATAGACATAGAATGAAATCAGCTGAATAAATTTTTCTGAAAATTTGTCTATCTGCCTAACTTTTCATTCTCTATCTTTTGTCTTTTGACACCAAAATAGGTTTCTGTGACAAAAAGGACTCGTTGAACCTTTGAGTTTCGTTGTTTTTGACTGCTCGACTTCGCACTTTTAAAAAAGTTAACTAACGCGAGCTTTTCAGCATTTCTGAAAGCGCAATTTGTAAATAAATAATAGGACTTTCTGATAAAACAAACCATAGATCGATTGGTTCTTTATCTATTTCAAAAAGTAACCTTTCAAAAAAGCGGACAAGACTCTCCGGTCAAGCTGATAATAAAATCAGATAAATGCAAATTTTCAGTCTATTGGGCGTCGCTGAAAACATGAACAAACTTATCGTGTTGAGCTTTTCAGAATTTCTTAAAGCTCAATTCGTAAATGAATAATAGAACTTTCTGATAAAAGAAACCATGGGTCGATTGGTTCACTAAAAAGTAACCTTTAAAAAAATGTTAATTAGTTAAGTTTGACTACACACAACGGATTGACGAAGCGTCAATCCGTTGTGTACTCGTATCACGAGCGTTAACCTTATGCTGGATTTTGCGTGTTCTTGTTACTTTGTGAGCGTTTCGGGGAAACCCCTTTAACCCTTTGTGCTACTCGGCTATTCTGAAACAAAATCATCCCGATGGTAAAGTTCAAGCAGGTCACACCCCCGAACTCTATCTTACCTTGACTCTCCAATAATCAGTCTTGTTTGCCGAACAGTAGCCAATCCACAAGCGAAGTGAAGCAGTAAAAGCCACCTAGTTCCACCTAGCCACCTAGTTTCTATTCTCAGCATTTCAAAGTGAGGATATGACAATCTTGAACTTTATTTTTATCCATATATATGAACTATTTGTGGACAAAAAGATCACCTTTACAGTTTTTTCAGTTGGATTCAAATGAGAATCTTACATTGCAATTCTTCTCCTTTTCCAATTGTACTTTTTTCTGTTCAATTTTGTTAATCCTTTCTGTGGAGGCGACCGGCTCTTTGGACCTAAAAAGATATTTCTGGCGTGGATCAATATCAATATTGAATGTAGATTCGACAGAGCAAAGTGTGAAAAAAGGTGATGTGCAGATTTTATTCTGTACTTTGAGAAGACTTGGAGGATGTTTTAAAAATTAATTATGTACCTTGTGATTCTTTTTTGTCCATCTATCGGATATTTATTACCCAATAAAGGGGTTTCCGACTTTAAATTAGCATATGAAATACGCAAAAGTGATTTTCGATGGTAAAAAGTACAATACGCAAAATATTTCCAATGTTAATTCTTTATTTATTAGAAAAACAAGGTCAAATGAAAGCAGGTGAAAAGTGCTCGATTGGGTATACGCAGCACTGCCTACCCTTTGAGCATTTGATGCATATTTTATTCTATAACAAATATCGATCTTACAGTCATGGACAAAAGGCTTTTAGCGTTGGTTTTTAGAAGTTTGTTCTTTGTAAAGGCTTAGGCTTAGGCTTAGGCTTAGGCTTAGGCTTAGGCTCTGGCTCAGGCTCAGGCTTAGGCTTAGGCTTAGGCTTAGGTTCTGGCTCAGGCTCAGGCTTAGGCTTAGGCTTAGGCTTAGGCTTAGACTCAGGCTCTGGCTTAGGCTTAGGCTTAGGCTTAGGCTTAGGCTTAGACTCAGGCTCTGGCTTAGGCTTAGGCTTAGGCTTAAGCTCTGGCTCAGGCTCGGGCTTAGGCTTAAGCAAATATGCTTTGCTATTACCAAGACCTCTAAAAGCCATAGTAGAGATCTTGATTAGATCAGAAAATATATAACACTGATGGTCTACATAAAAAGATTGAGAAGTTACGGCGCCGCAAAAAATGGGTTCAATTTTCTAATTTCATATTTCATTTGCCAGTACTGTAGAAGGTATTTTTGCCAAAAGATGAAGTTTCCTTTCCCTTATTACTTTTTATAAAAATTGAAAAAACTGATACTGAATCAATTTTTGTTTTATTAAAAAGTTCATGACACCTGATAAATTGTCAAATCCATCTTTTTGTAATGTTAAAATTAGAGATAATAAGCTCTTTAAATCTTTTAACCGTTTGCAAATTGGTCGGATTTGGATCAAGATACAAATAGACACAAAGAACAAAGAACAACAAACTTCTAAAAACCAACGTTACAAGACTTTTGTCCATGACTCTATTTTCACATATGTTTTAGGGACACCTTCATTTCACTTAAAGTCATTTCACCTAAAATGTGTCTTCAAGTACCTGATTACGTTATATCGCTCTAGCTTACTCACTTTCAGACAGTCAGCCTCGTTCTGGCATGTTGTAAGTTCACTTTTTTGTTCACTTTTTCAGCAATTACAACTTTTCAAATTTATTATTTTATTTAACAACAAATAACAAACATAGTAACAAGAAAAAAGTGTGCAATGTACCTAATTTTAACAATTATAATAAATAAAAAATAATTGCGTCCGTGAATTAAATTGAATTTAAACAAAATACCTACCGTAAATACTCTAATAGGAGCGCACCTTCTTCAAATTCAGTGGTTTGAGAGTATACAGAATGGCACCACTTTACGGCAACTCATTACCTTAAATACTGTAATTGAAGGGCACCTTCTCCCCATACAAAATTGGTCGCTGAAAAAGTCACTACTTTTGAAAAAGAGGAACAAATGCAATTGGCCTAAACAATATTGTTTTTTGATAGTCAAGTCACTGCTTACCTCAATAGCAAGAAATCGTGTTTCAAAGCCATTGTGCACAGCCGTGTATCCTGCTTTGAAATTGTTTTTTAGATCTTCTTTGGCTTGGCAAAAAGGTAACAAATTGAACAATTCTGAAAAAAATGACAATATAACCACGGATCCACACACGTAATTTGATCGTTTGAGAACATTTCTTCTTGGTTTTTGGCATCATCATCGAGAAACATACTCGTTTCGAATTCAGCCATTAGATAAACCCTGTGCTAGGACCACTAAAATTGTAAAATTTTAAGAATAACATAGAAAATGACTATTGTATGAATCAATTTAACATAACCAACTTGGAAAACTTGAAAAAAATTGACTTATGGATGCACAATTACGTATTGACGTTGACAAAAACTCATGACTCTATGTTGTAATTTACGCGGCGAAATGATCCACTCTCAATTTTAGCAAAAAACGAAGCGCGCATTTTAGAAAACATATTTTAGGTGAAAGAACTTTAGATGAAATGACTTTTAGGTGAAATGACTGGCAATTATGTTTGAAGAGCCGTTTATTTATATTTGGTACGATAGGGTTCTTTCCACGATTTCCCTGCCGATCGATTCGTTCACTCTTTATTGCATTTGGAATAAAACACCGACGGAAATGATTGCGTACAAATACTCGTTGTTTTGGGTGCAGGTAGGCCGAAAATCTTATCAAGTTTAAGATTTAGTGTAAAAGCCTTCTAAAAATAGCCTAATTTCAAGTAAATTTAGTTGCAGTTTGAGGTTAAAAAAGGATTCCGAGTTCCGACGAGGTAACTCTGTTGACACAAAAATACTTAAAAATTGAAGAATTTCCGTTTTTTTCAAACGTTTTCCTATTAAACTACATGTGAGTTTTGCTTTTTTCGTGCAGGAACTAATCTTTTCCCAAAAAAAGGTCAATTGTCGTCCCATTTTGATCCAAAGTAAACTTTAAAATTTTGAGATTGAATAAGTTTGATTCGATTCAAAATAAAAGAATATACCGTGAATGGTGGATTAGAGTGAAACCCTCTAATACAGTGCGGTGCAAAATCATACGCCACCCCCTAAATTTCAATTTTCTGCGACTCCGGTGCCAGTGACAAAAAAACTGAAAACACAGTTAGATTCAGGACCAAAAATAGCCCTTAAACCCCAAAAATCATCGACATAGCATGAATAGGGAAAATGTAACAGCCAAAAAACGAAAATTCACCCGGTGCAAAACCATACGCCACCCCCCAAATTTTGGTGTCATTTCATACTTTTTTTCTAGTTAAAAGCTAAATCTGCCTCTGGCAAACATAAGTCCCGCCCTTTCACTTCCGAATCCTTATAAGGAGGCCTAAGAAATTTTTGAATGGACAGAGGTTTTTGTTCAGTTTCGTCTAGCAACTAAAATTTTCCGATTTACGCTTTCAAATTGATTGTTCAAATTTTTGAATGGACGCAACTCGATTCTACCAAAAATTTAATTCAGCAATTCTTTATTTTTTCAGTTACTCACTACGCTTTTGGATTCGGTTCTTTTACTAATCAAACCGGAGTTGAACTTTCCGGCTATTTCCGGTAGGATCTTCGGAGTGTGGGACTCGATTTTTGGGCTCGGAGCAAAGCATGCTTTGGTTAGTGACCGTAAATACCATAATTGAAGCCCTGGGGCGGATTGAGAAACTGTAAGAAACGTATTGAGAAACTTTAAAGCATTGAAAAGTTCAATGTTTTGCAATTTCTCAACAAAAAAGTGCGAA